TATAAATTAGGTTTCGATACAGTAGAAAAAAATTAATCTAGTAGATATAGATAATTCTAATGTCGCGATTTATAAACAGCATAACGCTGGCTTAGTCCGCAAGCCAGCCAACTCCATTTGTATGAAATGTGCAGGAACAATAAAAAACTGAATAATTTCATTATTAAATGGAAAATAAAAATTTCAAAACACTGGTAGATTATTAATTCAGAAATAGGTTTACAATGAAGTTTTATGGGTATTTAATTAATTAATTAGGGGGAATAATTGGAGTTGGCTCATTTTAATAACCAAATTTTAAATTATTTTGGGAGTTGGTTGATTTTCCATAATAACCTAATGATTGTTGTAATAACATTAATGATAAAGTTTTTAATTTTGAGTTCAAGAAAATGGATTAAAAATACAAAAAAAATTTTACAGGAATAAAAAAAACATTTTGAAGTGTAGGTAAAAATTATTTATTGTTTAAAAGTAACTATGCATGATATGAAATATTGTCATAGAAATCGTGGTAATCTGAAGGCAGGGTAGTTTTCAAATCTTGGAAGTCTTGAAATTTCCTGTTTTTAATTTGCAACATTTCGGAGTTCAGATTAAGCAACTATTCAATATCTTTAGTGGTAATAAGCTTGTCACAATGCTGCGGTAGCAACTGCCACTCGCCTGTAAACCTTAGTTTATAGTAGATGTTGCCATTCATGTTATATTGTAAGCCATGAATGTCAGTTACCTTAAAAACATACTTTCTGTTAGTATTAAATTCAAATACCTTAAAGTAAAAATCCAATAACTTAAAGAAAAAAAGTAAATATTTGATACAACAATATTTTGGGGTATTTTTCCAAGTCTTATTAATTTATAAAATTTGATTGAGCAAAATGACTTGAAAAATACTTCAGGTATTCAAGAAACATCATAGGGTTCTGGTTTTTTCCGAGCACTTCTACAAATTCCGTAGTAATCTACAGGTACATTAATAACTTTATTTTTTAGTTTTTCCTCTATACATGCATGCATTGAGTCGGCCTCCATTTGGGTATGCCCAATCTTTAAATATTTCTGCTCAATGATTATTTGCTTTGAAATAGCTATATTCATCAAAACATTTGACAATATTTAATTTCTATTTTGTGACACGCAACCATCACTATATAAAATCAATTTGTTTTGCCTGTTGAGTCTGAGAAGAATTTTCTGGATGAATTTTTCCACTATGCTTGCATATTCTTCAGCATTTAGTCTTCCCTCAATTTCATTCCACAAGTAACAGCACCCGGCTTTTGTAGTAAGATCAAATAAAGAAAAATTGTAATATAAAACGAAGTTATGTGTTCGTAACAAAGTTATGAACACATAACTTCGTTTTATAATACAGAGAAGAAACTTTTGACCTGGGCGCAAACAAAACTGCTTGTACATTAACTGTAAAAACAAATTCTTCCTGTTTTTTGTGTTTCTGTTTGTCAATTCGATTGTGTTTTTTTTTTTCGTTTTTTTTTTTTTTTTTTTTTTAATTTCGTTTTTTAACAACTTCATTTTTTCTTTGTGTGTGTTGGTTTTAGTCTAGGTCTGGTATAAAGCCAAGCTTGTGTGATAAACATTTTTCACATAAATCATTTTTAGGGTGGAATAGAGCAATATTTTCAGTCTCCATGGTGTTGTTGAATCATGCTACAAACAAATGGACAATGTTGTTCAATAAACACCATGAAGACATAAAAATTATAAAGAAATTTTTTTGTTGATTATTTGGGTAAAATATATTTCTTAGAAGTTGCTTTGCGACAGTAGTGCGATTCTCTTTTTGGCAAACTTTCGAAAAAATATTTTGAGTGAAGCTTCTTCAATATGAAATAGATTATCTAGTCTTCGGTGATTCTAGCAATGATACTGTTTGGTTGACGATAGACCTTGATTGTTTCCAACCCCACACGAATGATTTTCCAATACATAGAATGTTTAAGAACATTGTCTTACAAACTCTGTACAATATTTCTTCTTTCCTTAAATAATACTCAGTTGAGCTAAGTCTTTTAAACTTTAAAGCATCCTTTATGTCTCTCGATCTCTTGATAGGAAAACATTTGGCAAGACTATCAACATAAACATTTTCTTTTCTCCCTAAATCATCTTCCAAAAACTTACGAAGATTTTTGTTCGATTTGTGTCTAAAATATCCAAACATTGAAAGACAGAATTTTTTTTTTATTGCCCATTTACATCTTAGTTTCAGTCTTTTTGCACTTTTAGGCACATCAGTAATTACTTTATCGCCAATTCTTTTGCGAATAAAAAATTTTTTGTCCTTTTTCTTGATTGGCAAAATTTTTCTGATCTTTCCATGTGGATTTGTCAACCTGACATCTTTTTTGCCGTTTGACATTTACTGTCTCGTCTTCACCACCGTGAGACTGAGTGCTCAGAATATTAGACCAAGGGATCGTTATAACCTTTTTCATCGCTTATGTCATTATTTATGAATGGGGAGCTATTAACTATATCACAAGGTATTTGTGGATCTTGACTTGGCACAAGAGTTTAACTGGAGACTCCGATTCCACTTGTGGGTGTGTCATGCGTTGGGAAAATCTCCTCATCGAAAACAGTAGTGTAATTTGGTAACACAAAATTTTCGTCAAAAATCAAAAAATGCATTGTTTCGATAGAACTTTCTTTATGAGAATTGAAAAATCACTTTGCATTTATCCATTACAATTACCAATGTCATTGGTAAATGACATTCTAAAAAATTAAGTATATTTTAATTATTTCAAGGAATTCATGTACTCAAGATTCATGTATTCATGTATTAAGAAATAACTGAAATATGACCGAATACGGTATTAATAAACACAAGAAGTTGATTCTAAAAATAAATAAGAGAACAAAACAGCTAACTGCAACACAATAATTCACAACTTCATTCTACAAATAGGTTAACTCGATTGGTAACAAAAAATGTAATTATCAAAATTAATTTAACTGCTTTTGGAAACAAATATACATTAAAAAGTTAAAGTGTCTTGCATTAACTCAGGTCCTTACATATAATGAAATCTTCAAATTTATAGTATTTTAAGAACCAAAAGCAAGAGCTGTTGTAAAACGACTCCGCTATCTGACACTTCACAATACAAAATGGCTAAATTGGCGGGAGTTAGCTGGATTGGTGAATCGTTTTTGTAAACCTGGAGTTGGCTGGTATGTGTGCGGGTGATTTAACGTACTTAAAATTTTATTTAAATTTGGGCCGTTTTGCGTATCATAGACAATTTGAAGATCAACAAAATGGTATCAAAATTGGGATTTGGACCAAACATGGAGTTGGCTGGTTTACGGATTAAGCCATCGATAACTAATCAAACTATCAAGAAAATCAAGAATGAAAACTGTTTAAAGACAATTAAGTCTTTAAATGCAAATTCCCCATCAGGAATCGCAAATATTATTGGATTTAAACAAACTGTTCAACTATTGAAAATTGCATTCTATAATTCTATTCAACAATTGAAAAACATAAAAAAGGGTTTTTTTATATTTTTTATATAGTTAAAAATATGCAGTTTTATTTATAAATAGCATATGTAAACACAGCTCTGTTTTAATTTAAATCATTTTAATTTACTTTAATTCATCAATATATATATATATATATATATATATATATATATATATATATATATATATATATATATGTTGTTTAAGAAAAATCCGTGAAAAGTTTGAAGCTTAAAAATAGTTACAAATAAACCACAAGTTCTCTTGCTTTTAGATACTTTGTTACAAACTTAAACTCTTTCTTAACATTAACGTTCTGTAAAAAAGTAACACATTTCTTCGAAAATTATGTCAAAACATTAAGGTAAGAGAAAATGAATTTTATCCCATTCGTACACGGGCACATAGAATGTGTTTAAATTTTTTTTTTTGATAAAACAAATGTACTAGACCTCCTTATGAGGTATGTAAAATTTTATTAAATTATAAAATAGGACTGGTATGCACACATGTACACATCGTGTTTCAATTATTGTTTTGCTTAAGTTTTATAGTGAAAAATGAACATAATGAATTGTGTACGTTTGTACACATGGAGTACGAAGGGGTTATATTCTTTTTCTGTTACCTTAAGGATAGAAGTTGACCTAACACCACTTAAAAATACAAAATATTCCAAAACAAACCACTTCGACTGAAAATGGGTCTGATACTTCGACTGAAAATTTCTGATCATAAAAAAGTTGCGGTGGTATCCTGGCCTTTTTTTTATTTTCTTATATTTAACTCATAAATAAATACCTTTAACGAATTACTAGCATATTAGATAAAAATCTAAAACGTATTACAGAAATATTTTAATTAATTAAAAAGATTTTTAAATTATCAATTTTAAAATTAAAAACCATGTACACTAATCAGTTAAATCATCAAATATCACCAGCACAAAAATATTTTGTAGTACTATTTAAAAAAAAAGATATTTACTTTTGAATTCTTAGAGGTTCAATTGTTTTTTCAAAATTTTAAATTTTCACCAATACCAAGATGCCACTTTAAAGAAAGTGGTGTTGTCAGAAAAATGAATAACTATAATAAAAAAAAAACATTAGGCGCCTTAAAATTACGTTTGGTCACCGTAATGGAGCGTTTGATTACCGTAATGGAGATTTTCAATGTACATACGTTCAGTCTATAAAAGAATGTCAACAAAATAGAGGGGGGAGGGGGGGGGGGGAGGGAGAAGATCGGTCTGAAATGTTTTGTTAAGGAGGTCTTGAAAAGTTGACATCAACAATGTTACTTTTTTTTTAAATTTAATTACTTAAAATGGGAAAATTTCATTTTCCTATTTTAATTGTATTTTGGGGGCGGACTAAAGGGGATGGGTATTCAAATCTTGATGTTATTTTTAAGGGAAGGTCTCGAGAAGTTTGATAAAGGGGAGGAAGGTAATTATTGTTAATAAGTTTATAGGAACTGTTATATAAAACACAAAATAAAAGTAATTTTACATTATCACGTGATATCACCAAACGCAGCGATTGGCTCAGCTGAATATTAAACTAACAGCAATTCGAAAGTAAAAGCAAAATTACAAAAGCATTAACATTAATTTGTTTAATATATGAATATTCAAAAAAATGTTATAAATTAACTTTCTTTTTGTATTGTGAAAATTTTAATAAGCAATTCATGTATTTTATAGCAGATACTGAAAAAGCACTCAAAATAAAATCTTATAACAACTTATTTGCAGTAAGAAATGAATATTTATTTAAAAACTAAAACTGCTTCGCATGTTCTTAATAAAGAAAAACTTATCTATCGTTAAACTTTGCAAACAATAAAAATAAACAATTTAAAAATTTTTTATTATAAATAAGAACGTAATAAGTACTTTTACAATAAAATAGTATCATATAATCATAATCATAGTAATTACATAAATGCACGGAAATTTATACTACAAAACATACAAAACTTAATTATTGATTTGTCTACCATTGTATTTTGATTAAATAAAAAAAAAACTCAAGGTAGAAATTTGACTTTATATTCCAAGTTAGGATATTAGAAAAATATAACGATCCAAACTTTTCTAATTATTTTATTTTATTTCTAATTAGACATTTTCAAACAACTGAAATTATTAAATAACTGCAAATGTAATGTGTTATGGTAATCGATTTGTATTCCACCATATGAAAGCTTTTCTAGATTGAATTTGACACAAAATGGCGAATTGCAGAGAAGTAAAAAATGGCGTGTTACAGAGAAGTACAAAAAAGAAATTCTTTACACTTGTACAACACTAATTGTCATACAACAACAATATATACTTCGAAGTAGACACATTATTCCAACAGTAAATACTCCTAAAAAAACAATATATACTTCGAAGTAGACACATTATTCCAACAGTAAATACTCCTAAAAAAACAATATATACTTCGAAGTAGACACAATAAATACTCTTATAATAAAAATTGTATATAAAAAAAAAAAAATCCAATTTTTTTTGGACAGATACGGTAAATAAACTACGGCACTTTAAAATGAAGAAAGAGCGTAGATAGAAATAATAATAATGCAGCTATTATACAAACTAAAGCACGGCAATACTACTACTGCTACTGCTGCTGCTGCTGCTGCTGCTGCTACTACTACTACTACTACTACTACTACTACTACTACTGCTACTACTGCTGCTGCTACTACTAGTTTTAATTGATGATATTTAATAACGACAGGTTATCAATTGATAATTTTTTTTAAGCTAAAAGAGCATTAGTCTAACCTGTCTAACGCTTGGCATATTTGCAATACTTTAAAATAGAGTGTTTAGATTAATGATGAATTTACCTGGGATTTTACTTTTCAAAATTAATAATAAGGTATAAGATAACAATAGCCAAAATTGACTCCGTAATTGAATTTTTAGGAATTTTCATTTATAATGTTAATAAACTTTATACCAAAAACTGTGTAATTTTTGAACTTTCAAACCTTCAAAATTGCTTTAAAAAGTCGTAATTTATTATTTTCATTTAAAAATATAATACTAAATAAATTTATGTACATATTTCTTACATACTTTAGATTTGAAATATTTTTTAAAAATGTATTTAATGTTTTTCAGTGGGAAAAAATTAAAATTTATTAACAAACTTAAAAAATTAAAATTTATCACCAAACTTGAATCAGAAAAGAAATCATATGATATAATCTGTTGATAACTTTTTTTTTATCCTCGATACCGTTTTTGTTTAAAATAAAAAAATATTGTTTTTTTAAAAACAAGGTTTGAATGATTTTTTTTTCAAAAAGACAAAACTATCTGGCAAATGAGAAAAGTTACTGTTTCATGGGTTGGAAGGATACAAGTAGTTTTAGATTTAATTTTATCAAAGACAATTAAAGTAGTTCAACTTATTAAGAAAAAGTCCAAATACACAAATTCTAATACTAAAGCAGATATCATATCAGCAAGATGCTAACTATATAGAGATCAAAAAAGATTTTGCAGATATACCTATGCTTATGTATGATGAATGAGCTAATGCAGAGCTTTTTCAATGTCAATAACTTTTTCAATGTCACATTTATTTGAATATGCAAGCATGAAAGAAAAAAGATGAAATACAGATTTCATCTGTAGAAGATTTTTAGTGAAATCAAATTGAAGAAGTTGTCTCCCATTGATGGCGCTGCAAAAAACATCTTGTTTAATTATTAAACTCATTAAGCTTCAAGCAGTTTAAAACAAATCTTGAAAGAGATAAAATCATTTGTCTTATATGTCACAATCGAATTATTTGTCTGATATGTCAGTAAGATTTTCTGAAACAAACTATGTATCCAAAATAAACTAATTTAGTGAAAGTTAATTCATCTTTAGTTTCCTATTTAGTTATCTCATAACTCTTTCATTTTGGTTGATTTTTTTTTTTTAATTATTCACTTCTTTACTTTTAGTAAAAGCTCCCCAATACTTTGCCATTGTTTTAATACTCGTCTAAATTAAACATAATAGACAAGCTACTTTTTGGTCTTCGACTCAGCGTAATTAGCAAAGTGAGGAAAATTTTTACATTAAGTGACTGTACAGTGGTGCTTATATAGTGGTGCTTCCTATCTCTGCTGTCCCACTGGCAGATAAAGCAGCAGTGAGGTTGCAACTTTTAATTTAAATTTAGGTAGCTCTTGTTGCTTATGATGTTTTTTAGTAAGATCAAGAAGTAACCAGTTTACTATTGGACCATCCATACACAGTTTTGTCAGATTTATGAAATTTATTGTTTGCCAAAAAGGTGGTCATACTTTCAAGTAAATTTTTGCAGTCAGGTAGCCTAAAAATTGCGAGTCAAAGTATTTGTATTTAACATGATTTAGATCGCTGTTCCAAAAAAAAAAAGAAAATGAGAAAATATGGTTTTAAAAAACTTTGAAAGTTTTCACATGTTACAGCTAAACTCATTTAAACTATTAATAATGACTCCATTCAAATCTGTTAAGCTATACATATATTTTATTTATACTGTTATATTCATATATATTCTTTATACTGTCATTTTATGCATGTATTTTAGTTTGGTTTATAAATCAATTTTTTTTCCATAATCCCTGATCATGTCTAAATTTCCCTGACTTTCCCTGAATTCCGTGCTTTGCCGGAAACCCTGTATATGTATATAACATTAAAATAACATTCAATATAAAATTTAATTTTAGAGTATTGATAACATTTATTGACCTAATGCCAAAGTATGCATGTGATCTCATTAGCTTTTTTCAGATAGAAAACTAATACTTTTAAATGATGCTAAAATTAGTTAAACTTGACTTAACAAATGTGACTCCAAATTTACTTTACAAGGGTTTGATAATCTTGTGAAATAATCAAAATGTTGTTTGTCTACAAATCAAAAAAAAATGTTTTGCAATAAGCATTTACAATTATAACTTATAATTTCGTTTTATAACTTAATTTAGCTATTACTTCATTTATAACTAAATTATAGCTTCCTTTTATAACTTAATTATGATGATTTAAATTCCAATTTGGTTGAAACTAGAAATAATACCAAAATTTTGGCTTTGGCACTTTTTATAAATTTGATCAACACCAAAATTTTGGTTGAAAAAGATATTAAAAACCAAAATTTTAATTGTATGATTTTAATTTTTATTTCATTCAAAAAATTGTATGATTTTAAATTTTATTTCATTTAGAAAAAAAGTTTTTTTTTGTGCCATTTTCATAAAATATTTTACTATTTCTAAATGAAATTTTAAGCCCATTTATCCCCAATTATTTAAAATTTTTAGTTAGTAAATAGCATATATTAGGTATGAGCAATTTTAGGTATGAGCAATTTTTGGTATTAGGTTGCTTTAGGCTGGAGTAGATAGTTTATAAGAAAATAAGAGTTAACACAAAAATAAAATAAAGTTAACTAGTAGCTATCTTATTTGAAAAATTTGAAAAAACAAAATAAATAAATTGTTAATAAAGATTTATTTAATAAGTTTGGATGATCAAAATAAATAAACTGCTCTAAAGATGCCTTTTTTTTTGCAGAAGAAAAAAGTTATTAAAAATAACACTGAATAACAACCCAAAAATATCTTGTTTGATGATTACATTTTCTAAAGCAGTTTTTCATGCTGATTACAAATCTGAAAACCGTTTTTCTCTATCACGTCAGGTTTTTAAGATATTAACATAAACATACATTTTTTAATCCCTTATTGTTACGAATGAATAAGAAAATAGAGTTTAGTTTACTAAGTTAATAACAGATGGCAACACTAAACATATTCTTTTGATATTTTAAATTGATATATTCTGTTCTGAAAATAGGTCTTTAGTGTACTTAATTTGTAACTGTATGTTTATTAATGAGTTGTGTGTTTATTATGAGTTATACTATTCCTATATATTTGCTATTTTTTTTCAGTGAAAACAAATTTTGTGTGCGGCTATCTCACAGACAAAGGCCACCGAAAGACATTTACACCATTTCTGAGAAAAGCTTATGAACTATACTTTGATTCAAAGGTTGACAGCGGCAAGTCATGGGCACCACAGTTCATTTGTTTGACATGTGCATGCAACTTACGGGGTTGGATAAGGAATGCTAAAAATAACAACCATCTGGCATTTGGAGTTCCTATGATATGGCGTGAGTCAAGCAACCACATCACTGACTGTTATTTCTGTTTGACAAATGTCACAGGTTTCTCATACAAGACTCGTTCATCTGTGAAGTATCCAGATATTTCCTCGGTTTCAAAACCAATTCCACATGATCCAGTCAGTTGTCCAATACCAACATCACTTACAGAATACAGAGTCGATGATGCAACACAAGAAGAAAGTTCATCTTCCAGCAACATGGCAGACTCTGACTACAATCCTGATGATGATGAAATTCATTTGATTAATAATGATGATCTTTGCGACCTTGTACGGGACCTGGCACTAACAAAAGGTCAAGCTGAACTGCTAGGTTCACGTCTGAAAGAGTTTAATTTGCTATAACCAGGTACAAGAATTTCACAATTTCGACATAGACACAAAGAACTCGTGCAGTTCTTTTCAATGAGTGACAATATGTGCTACTGCACTGACATCCAAGGTCTTATGTCAAGCCTCGGTGTAGAACATAAGACTGAAGCATGGCGTCTATTTATTGATTCCTCCAAGGCAAGTTTGAAGGCTGTATTATTACACAATGGAAACATGTATGCATCAGTACCGGTTGGTTATTCTACTCATCTAAAAGAGAAGTACGAAACCATGTCGCTACTTCTTGAAAAAATTTGCTATCGCGATTACAATTGGAATATGTGTGGTGATTTAAAAGTGATCACTATTTTCATGGGAATGCAGACAGGGTACACCAAGTACTGCTGCTTTATCTGCGAGTGGGACAGCAGAGATAGGAAGCACCACTATATAAATAAGAATTGGCCCATTAGAGATAAAATGGAGCCAGGTAGTAAAAACGTCCTGCATGTGCCATTGGTTGAGCGTGAAAAAGTCTCCTGACTATGTAAATATTGTGCAGAAGTGCATTAGTGCGTACAAGTTAATGGGTTGTAACATGTTCCTCAAGATTCATCTCCTCGACTCACATCTTGACTTCTTTCCAGAAAACCTAGGTTCTGTTAGTGATGAACATGGTGAATGTTTCCATCAGGACATCTCGGTGATGGAGTCACGCTATCAAGGCCGATGGAGTGCAGCAATGTTAGCCGACTATTGCTGGATGCTTCAGCGCAACATGCCAAATTGTCAGCACAAACCCAAGTCTACAGCCAAGAAATTCAAACCAAAATAACTTTTAATTTAAGGAACTTTACGTTATACCTATGTATTTTACAAGTGTATTATATTTTAAACTATGTGTATTTATGTTAAGTAGTACTCTATTCAGCGATATATGCTCTACTGTAACTTGCCTGCGAGTTGTTTGCTTTGATACAATATCAAACATATATAAATGGTCAATGCCAAATAACTCAACAACGGTGGGTGATAGAGACAAACGGTTTCTATATTTGTAATCAGCATGTCTTACTTGTCTTAAAACAAGTGTTGGTTTCCAAGATATTTTCAGAATTTTTTTTTTTGTTATTCAGTGTAATTAAACATAAACAAAATGAAAACTTACCAACAGTTTATTTATTTTTTATGCATTTAGTAAAAGTTTTCAAGCAAAAAATTTTTTTTTTCTTAAACTTAAAAACAAAAATATCTAAAATTTTTTTTTGTTAGCTAAACACTAGACTTTAAAATTTTTTAAAAAAATATAGATTTATTTTAAGAGATGCCCCAAGACCCTTAAACATATAAAGGGCCCCTGAAAAAAATTCAAAAATTTTTTTTTCAAAAATAGGTCAACCTGGTACTCAAAAAAAGCGAAACCATGTAAGTTTTAAAAATCGTATTTGTAATATAAAATTTAATTAAGTGGATTACAATCTGACCAAAGTTAATTACTGGTTTAATATTATTTGTAAGCTGATTGCAAAGTTTATTAACAAAATCCACAAATCACCAAAGTTTATTAACAAGCTTTTTTTGTTCCAATGCAACTAATGTAATACAATTATTTAAATTTAAAAACACATGAGTCTATGCATTGAGGGCACAGGTACTCATGTGGACACCTCTGTATACTGATTTACACATTTTTCTAAACAAGCTACAAATGATAGTATGATAATCTAGGTAAAAATTATACCAACGGCAATAACTGTAGTTTAAAAAATTTCATTAAAACTCAGAACTTTTCAGTCAGATTATTTATATTATTTATTTCAGAATTCAAATAGTTACAGAAAATAGTCTAAACTCATGTCAGAACTTTATAATCTAAACAAAAGTATAAATTTGGAAAACAAAGAAAACAAATAGAGTATTTAACTTTTTTAAACTTTACTACCAAAATTTATAACTAAATTAAAAGAAACTTCAATAAACTAATAAAATGATTAAGAATTGAAGTTGGAATAAAGGCGTAAATTTTGTATATGACATTAGAAACAATCTAAAAATTTATGTTTTTTAGTTAGTTATCTAAAAATATAACATAACACCACAAAAAGTAAACTACTGCTCTGAAAAAATCATTTTAATTAGAAGTTACAAATACCAGACAGATAATAAAATTGAATATTAAAAATTAGATTATTAAATCAGATTATTAAAAACTCAAATAATAATCATAAATCATAATTTAATTTGTGTATTATATAAAAAAAAAAAAAAAAAAAACACTCACCAGCCCATGACACATATACTCCTAAAAAAATAAAAATGTTAATTTTTAATTCAACAAGTTTAATCCTTTTTTTCACTACTTAGAAACTAAATTGGTCAATTGAAGCAAATATTTTTGCAAAAATGTTTTTGACAGAAAAAACATATAAATAATGATCAAAAGTCATAAAAAAAAAAACAAATAAAAAAAAAAAAAAATTAATTTATTATTTAAAGCGACATTAAAAACTTTTACACTTGACCCTTTAAAGGTTTACATTAGCTGTTTGTTTAAAATTCAATTAAAATTCATTAAACTTAAAAATACCTTGAGTAGTTCTTGCAATCGACATTGTACCAACCTAAGCATAACAAAACATAAATGCACAAAACCAAAACAATCTTTATACTAACTGCTAAACTAAATACTAGGCTGCATAAACGGGAATATTTAGTTTTTGGGGGTATAAAGCAAATTATATGAGAAGTGAAAGAATAAAAATAATAAAAACTTACAGATGCAATCTTCAAATATTTATTATTTATATTCAAACATGTTTTCTTAAATTTATTTTTTCTTAAAATTAAAATTTTAGTACAAAGGTTGCCATTGGGTAAATAAATATAAAGTTTCAACATACAGTTTGACAATGTTGGTTTGACAATACCAATGGAATATATTTTGTTATACAATGTTCTAGCCAATTACTGATAAAAGTGAAAGTTGTAATGTATTAATATAAATAATAGATGTTTATGGTTTTATAAACATTTTAGAATAAAAAAGGATTATCATTATGAGATATATTCTTTAAAATTCGTTAAATTTTATATAATCCCAAATCATCAAAAAAACCAAATCAAAAAGTTTTAAAGTTGTCAAAATAAATATCGGTTTTTATTTTGTATTTTATTGTTTCATATTTGTATCTTACTGTTTAATAATTTAAATCTTATTACTTATTTATTGCTATGATCTGATAATTTTTTTGTGTTGCTACTTGCTTTATTTTTGCCTCCCTTTCCAGAATGTCTATATTTTTAGGTTCTGCCAATATAGGGTGACATGCATCGTTTTTATTGCTCATAATGTATAGTTTAATAATATTTTTAATTAAACTTTTATAGGCTTATTCTACTTACTTAATACAAAATTAGGTTCTATGCTAATAAAATCTTTACTGATCTTATAAATTTGACAATTTTGTTGCTAAATTTACTAAAATAATGTTAAACCTGCATTTTTCCATCCAAAAAACTTAATATAAGATGTAAAACAGCTACAATCTATTCTATTATTTAATAGTAATAATGTTCTTATAATAAATTTAACTAATTACACTAATAATATCACAGAATTATTCTAATAATAAAACTAGTTAATTTTATTCATATAATGGAATTAATTATTCTAAAAATATAATGGAATTAATTATTCTAAAAATATAATGGAATTAATTATTCTAAAAATATAATGGAATTAATTATTCTAAAAATATAATGGAATTATTTATTCTAATAATTTAATGGAATTAATTATTCTAATAATTTAATAGAATTAATTATTTTAATAATATAATATAATTAATTATTCTATTATACTATTAATTATATAGAACTGACTTTCAAAAGCTAATGCTAAAAAAATATAAACAGCTATCTATTAATTTGCTTAATCAGGTATAAAATTTACCTCAGAAGCAACCAATATTACAGATCTTAAAAACTTCTGCTTCTTTTTTTGGCTTTAATTTCGTTTTAAATTTGTCATATGACATAAATGACTAACTACTTTTTTGTGGTAATCTATCATCATATCTAACATCATCACTTTCCTGTGGTAATCTATCACCATATTTAACATCATCACTTTCCTGTAGTAATCTATCATCATATTGAACAGTCACTTTCCTGTGGTTTGATTTATCATCATATTTAACATAATCACTTTCCTGCTGTAATCTATCATCATATTTAACATCATAACTTTCCTGTGATAATCTATTATCATATTTAACATAATCACTTTCATATGGAACACTATGCGTCGTGAAGCGGAAATAGGATTTTACTTACTTTTCTGAAGAAAAAAATCAATTTTAATATTTCAAATATTTTTTAAAGGAAACAGGAAAGTGATGATGTTAAATATGATGATAGATTACCACAGGAAAGTGATGATGTTAGATATGATGATAGATTACCACAAAAAAGTAGTTAGTCATTTAAGTATATAATATTAAATATATTCCCTAAGGCGAGGAGGCTACTTATTTGTGGTTATAAACCTCTTTCAACTCTATAACTCTGACACACGAACCTTGATGAACAAGGCCGCTGCGCGGAGAAACGAGTTGAATGCGGTACTACCAGGGACATGGTGGGGATTGAAATCGGAATAGTGGTAGAGTGCTTGCTTATGAAGCGAGCACTCTACCACTACACTACTACCGCATAGTTTACGCTTACTCTGCTTGATAAGTTGATTACCCTGTTTAATCAGATATTTTTATAATTTTCTCTTCCTCCACATATGTTCTAATCTATATTTAAGGAGATTTTTCTAATCTTTTATATAGTAGTTGTAAAGTTTCTAAAGTTAGTTGGAAACAACTTTTTTCTTTTTCCACAAATTTTTATTAAATAAAAAGGCAGACTTTTAAAATCGTATGATGTTTTTTTATTATTTATAGTGTCTGACAAAGAGCACCTAAATCAGAATAAGTTTAGACTTACTGATTGATATGAACAGCACGACTACTAGATTGGATGTATGTAGATTTTAAATCAGAAATTTGAATATCTCTACTAATAACATTTTAAAAAAACCATACCTATGCCACAATATATACAATCTGTATTCTAAAAATCACCCAATAGGTTCTTTGTCTGACAGTGCTATTGAAGCCAGAAACAAAGAAAGCAAAACTGCACGAGTTAGTCATGCATGTCTAACTTTCTTGGCAGAAAATGCTTAGGATACAGTTAATTATTTGTTTGTGACTTTTGATATGTACCTCTATTAAGTTTTTTTTGTGAATGTTTAACCATTGTTTGTAGATTAGACTATTTTTGTTAAATTTTTTTGGTAAAAAAAAAACTCAATATAATTTATTATACCACTTCAAAGTTTTGTTGTTTTTTGTTTTTTTTGGTAATCTATCATCATATTTAACATTATCACTTTCCTGTGGTAGTCTATCATCATATTTAACATTGTCACTTTCCTGTGGTAGTCTGTCATCATATTTATAATTGTCACTTTCCTGTGGTAGTCTATCATCATATTTAATATCATCACTTTCCTATGTTAATCTATCATCATATTTAACATCATCACTTTAATAGAAAAAATATGGTTGCTTTTTTTTTAGCAACTTTTTTTTAAAGGATGAACTTTTAATTTATTTGTTGATTTAATAAATATTTAATTATTTTATTAAAAAAAAATTAAAAAAATAAAAAGCGACATGTTAATCATCACTGTTCCTGAGTTTTATGTAACTATAATGATTGTTTTACTTAAGTTGTTTTAAGTTAAAAATTAACATTTAAGGCAAAACTTACAACAAGACCTATTCCACCAAACAAAAATATAATTCCCAATATTGCTGAAATTAATGCTTGTCGACTTGAATATGCTGAACCAATAGATGATCTAAAATATTTTTATTTTTATTTTAATCATTTTATGTCACAAAATATGTAAATATTGCTATGTATGCTAACTTTACGAATGACACTTAAAGAAAATTTTTACTACAAACATATCTACCATTGAAAAAAGTATATTACATCTTAAGTCACTTTGGGCATGAAAAACAAAATGAAAAAAAAATTGATTTAAAGGTAGTTTTAGGTTCAAAATTATAATGTTGAAAAGGGGTGAATATATATTAAATCCAATTCGCTCCCATAAAACCTGCAACCAACCACTATTTAAATTGGGATTAACAGAATGCTGAATGAGCCAGGAAAGCATTTTCTATTAAATCTAACTACATTTACATTTTTGGGCCTCTCTCTGATATAGCATACGAATGTAACTTAAGGAAAAGGCCAGTATATCGAAGTTTTTAAAAATCTTCGTCAAGAGCAACAGCTCTAACCTCACTACTATCATCTAATGTAAGAATCTTTCTGTTATCATGGTTAAGTCTTTATAAGTTTAATGTAGGAATCTTTCTGTTATCATGGTTAACTGACATCATTTATGTCAATTTTGAGAGAAGTAGCAATAGATATCTTGAGTTTTTTAGAAATGGCTCTAAAACCAATTGCAAGACTGCCACTAATGAATGTTATATTAAGAGCTGGACAAATAAAATCATTGAAAATAATTGTTGTAAACCATGGGGTAAGGGCCCATCCATAAATGATGTTGGTAAATATAGGGGGAGGGGGTACTGAAAAGTTTGATAAGAATTGGCAATGGGGAGGGGGGGGGGTTTTGAGACCAAAACGGTGTCAACTGAAAAAAAAGAAATAAAAATTTCAAGTTTATATGAGCAGATTTTAAAGGTATTTACATTTACAATGTGGTATAGAAATGGCATATTTGCTTTGTGGGGACTACAAAATCTAACATCAAATATAGGGAGGGGTGTGCGTGCCAAAAATTGACAGATTTTGACAAAGGGGGAGGTGGGTCAAAAAATTGAGAAAAAATCACTGACATCATTTATGGACAGCCCCTAAGTGATCTTTTTGTATTTTTTTTATACTTATGTTGCAGGGCTGGAGCCAGCATTAAACCTTAGACCTCTGTTCTGAGCCAGAACTCTAACCACTGCGCCACGGCTGCATAAATTAATTAAAAATTAATGACAAGTAAAAAATGAATTGAAAAGAATTAAAAATTATTGAAAAGAATAGTCACAGTGTTACGAAATGGCCATCAACCTTAACCTCATGTCCCGAGAAAACCCTTCGGTGGGATGATAGCCCACATATAGTAGATCACTTAGATATAAATTTGGAAATCGAACTATGACGTCCGAGAGAGATATTTCAATTCTGGCATATCAAAATTTAAATGAGATGATGGAATTTGGCATTTTTACAGCATTTTTGTTGTTACGTTGCTTAGAGTACTATTTAAGACATTATATAACTAATTGGAGCAGGTTTTTTGAAATCATTATTATTTTTTGTTTGTTTTTCAATTTTGCTAATTCCAGGAAAAGGGTCCACATTCAGTTTTTTTCAAATAAGACACATTGAAAGTTTGATAAAATGCCTAACAAAGCTAAAACTCATGAAGAAAACCAAAAATGTGTTTGTTTCCTATGTTTGAAGAAGGCAAATCAAGAAATCACAAGTTTTTTAGTGGAGAAAATTCGCACAGTCCTCAAAATTGAGCTTGATTTTTCAAACTTTCAAATCCCTTGTGGAATTTGTGAAAGATGTCGTGTGGCTATTCGCAGACGAGAAGAAGGGGAGGATGCACCTATCCCAAGGCTCTTTGATTTCAGCACCATCTCAGTTCAGCGTGCTGCAACAAATATTCCTTGTAATTGTTTCATTTGTCAAACTGCAAGGACAAATATGAACCAGCGTCATCCTTTGGAACCACCGAAACCCAAAGAAAATTCAAGCATTGAAAAAAGATGCACTGATTGCTTCTCTGTGATTGGTCGTGGATTGCCTCACAATTGCACAACAGGAACATTAAAGCAAAATTTAGTAGAAGTTGCTTCGAGAAATCGCATTGCGGCAGATAGGGTAGCATCATTAACAATTGCTAATAAAACTCCATCACCTCATGCCACTGTTCAACTAAGTCAACCACTTGGAGGAAATCGTTTTCCCGTTGTTCCAGGTAAAGCAACATAGATTTAAGCATAAATCACTTATAAATTTCTTTTAAAATGTAAATGTAGAAAATTTTAACCTCGGCCATTAAATGTTCTTTAGGACCATCAAGTGCAAGAGAATTGTTTCCTGCTGTGCCCAAGCTCATGGCACAAGACATGGTTGGAGTCCAAATTGGAACTAGATTGTCAAATCTTGGCATGTCCAGATTGGCATCATCTTTGAACCAAGCTACACCTCTCCGGATTGTAGAAAAAAATTTCAGAGAAAAATTCGACAGTTTCAGGAAATCTTTTTCTGAGCATTTTGAGACCAAGGCCATACGAGATTCTACAAAGAATGATGACCAGCACCCTTCACGACTGCTTGTTTTTTGCCCAGATGTAGGAAGTCTTGCAAATCACGTTATCAAAGTAAGGAATGTTTCAGGAGATCCGCTGATGAAAATTGGCATTGATGGAGGTGGTGGGTTTTTGAAAGTATCTCTTGGAATCATTGCCAGAAACACAGATTCAAATTCTCCACCACCAAAACGAGGGCTTAAAGCCACAGGAATCAAGCGGCAACTTCTGGTAGCAATTTCAGAAGATCTGCCAGAGAGTTATGACAACTTGAAAAGCTTCTTCTCTTCAACTTCACAAACTTTCCTACATAATCTCTTGTGACATGAAAGTCGCCAATCTTGTTTGTGGTCTTCAGTCCCATGCAAGTGCACATCCTTGTTCATGGTGTGATGCAGAATCAAAAGATTTGAGTCGCTCTGGAAGTCTCAGAACACTTGGTTCAATTCGAGAAAACTTTCTGCAGTTTCAAAGCAGTGGTGCCAATGCAAGCAGAGCAAAAGACTTTAAAAACGTCATCCATGAACCCATAATGACTCTGCCAGATGACACACTGATTTTGGACATCATTCCTCCCATGGAACTTCATCTGCTTCTTGGAGTCGTTAACCATCTCTACAAAAGTTTATGCCAGGTTTGGCCCGCAGCAAAGGAATGGCCAGCAGCCCTTCATATTCAAGAGCAGTCTTTTCATGGTGGCCAATTTGCAGGGAATGACTGCCGCAAGCTCTTGAAAAACACTGATCGCCTTCAAAGTTTAGCTGAGCAAAGCTCATTTTTTCTTGCTGTGCCATTTGTTGAAACATTGAGACATTTTGACTCAGTGGTGAATGCTTGCTTTGGAAATCACTTGAGCCCCGATTTTGAACAAAAATTTTTACAGTTTAAGGAGTCGTACCTGAAGTTGCCAAATACTTCAGTCACTCCCAAAGCACATGAGGTGTTTTTCCACCTGAAGGATTTCATCCTTAGACACAATTCTAGTCTTGGCATTTTCTCAGAGCAAGCTACAGAATCTCTTCATCACGACTTCAGTTCCCATTGGCAACGTTACAAACGGGCAAGAAACCATCCAGAATATGAATCAAAGCTTCTGAATTGTGTGATTGATTTCAACAGCAAACATTCATTTTAGAATAAAAAGGATCAATTTTATTGTAAAATATGTTTTTGTTTATATGTCTTATAGAAATATATGGGAAAATTAACTTTTTGCTCTATAAATACTGAAAAAATGCCAAATTCCTATAATCTCGTTTAAATTTTGATATGCCAGAATTGAAGAAAATAAAAACTAAAATATCTCTCTCGGACGTCATAGTTCGATTTCCAAATTTATATCTAAGAGATCTACTATATGTGGGCTATCATCCCACCAAAGGGTTTTCTAGGGACATGAGGTTAAGGTTGATGGCCATTTCGTGACACTGTGTAGTATAATAGCTTTTATGCCTATATGAATCAAGGAGATTAAGTAGGAGGCATAACAATTAACAGAGACAAAAAATATCACCCTACCCTGAAGCAAATTATAAAAAGGATCCTTAAGGATCTTTTTTATGATTAGTCAGTCGTAAGGTAGTAGAAATTTTAATTGAGAAATACAAGTAAGAAGTGCAATAATTGAATCTTATGTATAAAAAGTTAGAAGTTTTAATGAGGTTATAATGCGGTCAGTAACATCTTTAGAGGAAAAAGGAAAAACTGAACACAAACTAGAGACACAAATAAAGGAGTAAAGGTAAGTGATTTAGGTTGTCAGGAATATGAGTCACAAAGTGAACTTATATCTGAGATGGTGATTGAAAAAAGAAAAAACTTTGAGCTTTAATGCCAGGTTCAGTGAAGCTAAATCCAAACCATTCAGTGTGGTGAGCTTTAAAGTCACCTTTAAAAACAATATTGGCCAGAACATAAAGAAAAATAAAAGAAAAAAAAAACTTGAACAAAAAGAAAGATGATGTAAACAGGTGTAGAACAAAAGCAAACAAAAGAACCTTGTTTTAGCAATAATGGTTTCTTATGTTTTATTTTTTTTTTGATACTTTAGCTATGTTTTAAAATTTACTTAACCAGGCTTGGTCGGGAAGCAGGAGCGATCGCTCTCAATTGCTGACCACGTAAATAATATTTAGTTGCGAAAAGCTGACCAGATTTTTTAGTCGTTTTGAGAACATTTTAAAAAGCACAAAAAAAAGTGCTAAAGATTAATTGGACCGATGAGAGACAATTACAAAAAAAATTAGGTAAAGAAAAATTCTTTAAACTCGAAAAAACTTAAAGCTAAATAAATTACGTTTAGAACAAATATTTTCGAAACATCGCTCTTTTATAATTTTTTTTTATAAAATTAAGCGATGTTTTTTTGTATAAAGTAACAACTTACGATTGTTTAAAAAGGAAACAATTATTCTTTATTTAACAAAGTTTGCAAGTTTTAGTTTTATATAACCTAAATTATTTTATAAATAATAAAATTAATTTTTTCAATACTTATTTTATGTTTTAAGAATTTGAAAAGTTTAACATATTTGAAGCAATTCTTCTTAGTAAGATAAACAAATGAAATAATTAAACCATTGAATTACTATAGAAATTAAATTAACAAGATAGAAATCAACTAAAAAGGTTAAAAATACTTTATGACGAGGACGCAAAACTGCTTTACAATATCGCTGGTGAGTGGGCTTTTTAATTTTAATTAGTATTTAAAGCAGAAAAAAGTATAATGAGTTTTAAAGAATGGCAACTTAAGCAAAATAATTAGAGTTAGTAAACCAATATCTAGTAACTTTTCTTTATATCAAATTATTTGCTTTATATATTTGTGTTCTGTCGTGACCTCAGGCGCGGTGCTTGTTCATCTGCGAGTTACTTTGTACGCGTTGTTTGTGTTTAGTAACCAGAAACTTCTTATATGTTTGTTACATAATTAGATTTAATAACTATAACGATTATAACTTCATTGAAAACGCAATTGTTTTAGTAAGTCTTTGTTTAAATCATAAAAATTGCTTTAAAAGATACATTACGATAAAAAACAGATAAACAAAATTAAATTTACATAATGAATGCACACTTTTTAAATGAAAAATAAGAATATACTAATAAAATCTACAATTTATAATAACTTTTAAAGTTTTGACAATTTAATATATATTTAAAACTTTTATTTTTGTAAACAAATAATATATTTATTCTTAAAACAATTTATGCTAGAAATCTGAAAACGTAACAAATCGTTTCTAAAACATTTTCTAAAGCATTTCAACAGAGTACTCTAGAACTTTATTTCGCTGTCAGTGTATTTTTTGAACCAATAGAATTAGTTTCTTCATTATATTGGAGGGTTTTTAGTATTCGCGAATATTTTTTTTCTCTTTCGCACAAAGATGTTTTGAGAACATTCAAGTTTATTATGTTTCCATGTATGTCCGTAAAGCAAAATTTTTTTGTTTCGTACATAGACTTAAATGTTCTCAAAATGACTAAAAAACCTGGCCAGTTTTTCGCAACTAAATATAATTTCTGTGGTCAATATTCGAGAGCGATCGCTCCCGCTTCCCGACCAAGCCTGCTTAACTGTAGATAGTGAATGGCACCTTAAGCAATAAGTTACACAGTTATCTGAGTTCTGTTAGTCAACGCAAAGTCATAACATTGAGGTTCTTATATGAATATACTTCTAGATAAATTTAAAATTAGTATTGTAATTCTACAGCTATGATCCAGTACATTTTTTATAATGTTAAAATATTTCAATAGAATGGTAAAATAAAATAAAAAAGTAAAAAAGAAGTTGAAAAACCAATTTACACTTCTATATAGATATTTAAAGTTAGCGTTAGCCAGGAAAAATTTTTATATAGCATTTATACAATATGAGAAACTCCTATTACCAATATTCCCTCCTGTTTGCCACCTGCACCAAATTACAGCCCACTTTTTTAGGCCAAACTAGGTTAGGCTCCAGGGAAAATCTTTACTTTGGTAAATTTAAACTATTTAAGAATTTCACATTATATGCAGTGCAATTAAGCTAGCACACACATTGTAAGTATAAAACTTATGTATAAATTTTGTTTGACCAAAATGATGTAAGATGTAATATTTTTCATAATATATACTGGAATAAAATTTGTTGAGGCACCCAAAAACTGAAATTATAAATATTTAAATAGATATAAATAAAAAACTGCAAAATAAATATCTACTTCCAACAAAAAAAAAACAAAAAAAAAAAACAAAAACTAAGAATACATACTTTTGTCTACAGTAAGGGCATTTAGCTATGCCTAATGGTTGGCGAAACTAAAAATAAAAGTTTTATATTTAGTAAAAAAGAAGTTATAAATGATTCACACCCTTTCACTTTTTTTTTAATCTAAAAATATTAGAAAATATTCAATATTATTTCTCTAAACAGTTGAAAGTTTTTAATTAGAAAGTTTAATTGGTTTATTATGGTAACCACAAAATTTAAAGAATAAAATTCTAGGACTTTTTGCACATTTACCAATATTTTTTATATAACACCCTATAAATAAAATTTCGAACAAATTTTAATCGCATTTATTATGTAATTTATTTCATGCACGCAAAAAACCTTTATACTTGTTTGAAAGAGGATTTTATAATCTATTTAAATTTGATTTAATTAAGTTAAAAATATTATTTAAATATTGAAAATAAAATGGTCAAAGTAAAGGACCTCGAAAAAATAATGGAAATTTTTTTTCAAAAAAATCAAGGAAAAGGTAAAGCATTTGTTGCAGAGTTGGAAAAAACCTAACCCAAATGGGTTTTTTTTGGGTTTTTTTAAAACTGACCGTTATTAGGAAAAAAAAATAAATATACTTTTCCTAGATATTTGAAAACCATTTTTGTTTTTAAATTTTTTTATTAAAAATACAATGTGCTATAAACCAGGATGGAAAGTTCAATTTCTAAATTTATAGTTCATTTACCCTAAATATTCTTACTTTTATTGTTGAAATACCTTAAGTCTTGAACCACTTTTGGAGCTCTTACGTCTAGGAAAATATAGTTATGTTATGACTTTTAAAACTGCAAAGTTTTTTGGAATTTCCTGATTTAAACTAGTTAACAGTTAATATTTTTTTATATTTTAATCATAATAGAATTTATTTTTAGAAAATTTTTTTTTAAATAAGAATATATATTATGGCTCCTGGATCTAGAAGGAAACTTGCATGTGAATGGAATGATGTGACTAAATTATCAAAAACTGTTTACGGAAAAGTAATACTGCAGTGCCAGTGCAATTATTGCAATGAAATTATAAATAGCCAAAAAGTAGAAAGAATTAGAATTCATTTAAATAAATGTAAAAAAAAAACAACATCTGCTGATGTTGCAGAACGAAATAAGAATTTTATTTTAAAAGATGGTCAAGTATTATCTCAGGCATCTGTAAACTTGCTGTGTGATTTTGTTAGCCCAGTTGCTTCAGAATCTTTTGAAGCATCAAGCACTTCTGGTGTCTTTAAGAGTAGTTACTCTGGTTCAACACCAACCCCATATAAAAAACAAAAGTTAATAGAAAACTACATATCAAGAACAAACTCAGATCAAAAGGATGTTTTTGACTTGCAAGTTGCCAAAATTTTTTTTGCTTGCAATATTCCATTTAATGCTGTAGAAAATAGAGAATTTAAAAAATGTATTAATTTTTTGAGACCTGGTTATGATCCTCCAATCCGGAAGAAACTTTCAAGAGAGTTACTGGATAAAGTGAATGATGAAGTAATTGTATCTATGAAAAGTGAATTTGCAAATAATAGGAGTACTATTACATTAATACAAGATGGTTGGAGCAGTGTCAGAAATGATCCAATTATTGCTCACAGTGTACATAACGGAAAGACCCCATATCTAATCTTCACTATAGATGCAGGAAATGAAAAAAAAACTTCAGAATATTGTGCTCAATTAGCCATTGAAGCAATAAAACACATCAAGAAGGTTTATGAACAAGATGTAAGTATAATAATACTGTATCATAGTATTTACTTTAATATAAGTTAACTAAAAGTATAAGAATATTTGTCTACTTCCAACAGGTATTTGCCATTTGTACAGATAACGAAAACAAAATGACAAAGATGAAAGAAATTCTTAAAGAGGAATATCCATTGCTACTTACAAATGGATGCTCAGCTCATTACTTAAATTTAGTTGAGAAGCCGGTGACACCAAGTTTTCTAATATATTGTTTATAATATATTATTTTAATTTTACAGTTTCAATTTTTTTGTTACTCATATACTCAGTGAATTTTATTATTATATCAACTAATTGAACTAGTTCTTAATTTCAGAGATGGCTTTCGGATGATAGGAATGGAGTTATGCCACAACTGCCTAATGATACACGATGGAACTCTCAAGTAGACTGTTTAAAGACATATTAAAAATTATAGCCAATATAATGATATTATAAAGAAGCATGAAGCTGATATTAAACATAATATCAAGAAAATTATAGATAATGCTGCAATTTTCAGGGAAGCTAAAAATCTTCTAATTCAACTAGAGAAATGCGAGATAGCTTTAGATAAGGTAGATATGTAAATCAAAGTTGTTAGTCATTAAAATATTGTATTTAATATACTGTTAAAATATTTGTATAGGTATTTAAAAAAAAATTATATTTATAGCTACAAAGTGATTCAACATCATTGTCAGATGCATGTGAAATTTGGTTGTCTTTCCTGAAGAATGAAGACCTGAAGCCATATTATATTGAAATTAAGTTAAAATTTGATGAAGCAATCGAACCTTTTCATTTTTTGGCAAATTTGACTGATATTAAATACCAAGGTATGGCCACCAAATCTAACCCCAAAATTAAAAGAACAGACTTAAAACTTACATAACACACTAGTGGATTCTAGACTACAGACACTAATAAATAATATCCATATAGGATATTTATTTCTCATTTATGAAATATAAAACAGAAAATAATATTCTTTAATTTTAGGAAAATCTTTAAGCATTGAACAAGAAGCTGCTGCAGAAGCTTGGCTAAGTAATAGACACAATGAATACTTGGCTGGTTACTATGGTTTCAGGCTAAAAGTCACAACTATTCCACAGCACATGTTTAACGATAACTTTATTTCTACAATTTTAAGTGAAAGATGGTGGGGTATAATAGATATGAAGCAAAAGCTGCATCAAAAATCTTTGCCACTACCAGAAGGGTTTGCAAAGTTTTTTCAATCTCTTCATAGTTGTCCTGCAAGCACTGGCTCCATAGAAAAAGTGTTTTCTACTTTTGGTATTGTGTGGAGCAAGTTAAGAAATAGGTTAGGAAACAATAGAGCTGAAAAGCTTGTTCGAATATACAGACATTTGAGAGGCGAAGAATTTGATTGGTAAACAATAATGGCCAATATTTTGTAAAGCTTTTGTAATTTAAAGAAATATAGTTTGTAATCTTTATTGATTTTTCTTTTTCTTTAAACTAATTTTCACCAATTGTTTTTTCTGCATTACCCCAACCAGCTATACAAATGATTAATCATAATATGGATTATTCTGTAAGGAGTTTGAACTAAAAAATATAATAAACATATATATATATTTCATAATAAAGGAATAATAAATCTTATATTATTCACAATAAAGGGTTTAAAAAAGCTAAAGACAGATTTATCTGTTGTAAAAAAAGACATTTTTAAAAAAACCCAAATATCTTTGGGTTTTTTTGGGTTGGTTTTTTTTGCCAACCCTGGTTTGTTGCTAAGCAGTTTACGGAATGGGATTTACCCAGATCAACTGCTTACGATAGAATCATAAAATTGGAGAATGGATCTCTAAAAAGAAAAGTTGGAAGTGGTCGAATCGCTAAGTTAACTACTAAAGAAAATATTTGAATAATTTTCTGCATTTTTTGAAAATAAGTCAGGATGCTCCCAAAAAAAAGCAGCTCAAGTTTTTAACTGTAATCAAACTCAAATTTACCAAGTATTAAAAACAATGACTAACATTTGAACTTTCAAAAAAAAAAATCGTCTAGATCGTAGCCATCAGCAGAAGAAAGCTATGCGTCCTAAATGTTGTAAATTGTATGAAAATTATAAAACCTTGGATTTTGTTATGGATGATGAAAGCTATTTTACATTAAACAATAGCACATTAGCTGGTAATGATAGGTTTTATGCCGCTGATCCTTCTCAATTTTCTGACGAAGTAAGATACAATTTGCCTAAAAAATTATGAGGACAAGCTCTTAGTTTCTTATAGCATCAGCCCCCATGGAATAAGACCTCTTTATATTCATCACAGTAAGCAGGCAATCAACCAATACACTTATAAAGAGATACTAGAAAAAACTTTACTTCCTGGAAACAACGTATTATAAATAAATCTATGCCAGTCTAATAGACATAGGGGTGCAAAGCTGGTCAACAGATTGAATCTGTTGACCCTTAAGTCTTTGCCTCGGAGGCCTTCTACAAGACAATAGCCAGATGCATTTAATATCTGCCCAAGATGAGTACTTTTATTGAGACACCATCTTTAGCATTTATTCAACCAAGAGCCCCAAGGTAGGGTTGTGTTATGTCAGAGTTAGCATCTCCTAGTCTTTGCTTAAAAAAGCATATCCATTAGCCTAAAAAATCCAATAAGGCAGCAGGACATAAAACAGGTTGTACTGGGTATGTTTAGAACTTAAAACAGGTTGTACTGGGATGCTTAGAAATACATGATAAAATCAATACCCAACTTTTTTCTTTTTTAATTTTAAATCTTTAAAAATTATGACATACCCTAATATCTTTTTACAGGGTTTTACTGAACAAGAAAAATATCTAGACTGCCTTCATACTTTTTATCGATAATTAATACTGTGGCATTAATCTTAATAAGGGAATTTTGTTGATGACATTATTTAACTACAAAAGAGATCACATAAAAGCAATTAAGTTTAACTTTTTTTTTTAAACAGCAATTCTATATACAAAGCAGAAAGTTATATATAGTTTTCTGTCACTTATTCTGTTTTTTTTTTGTTTTTTTTAATTTTTTTTTTGTATTTTTGCATTTGTATTTTTTGTAAATTCAATGACTAACATAAGTAAGCAAAACATATGAGGAGCGCACAAAGACCCATAGTTTTAGTTTGAGCAAACAATTCTAGTGCCAATCCTAACCCTAACCTTTTTCCCATGTATGTACACTCCTGCATGTTCTCCCTATATAAGTCAGTTAATGAATGCAATTGTTTATTGCAAAAATATCAATTAAATACCCTTCAAATAGTAAACTATCATTCAATACCAAACTTGGATTAAAGATATTTTTACAGTATAATCTATATATAAAAATAGAAACTAAAGGTGATGAAATTTGAAGAGAAAAAAATATTAAGATAAATTTTTTTTTTACAAAAATATTACTTTATACAACAAATCAAGAAAGTATGATGTAAGAAAGTATGATGAAAGTTACATGCAATTTCAGCAGTTTATCTAATATATCTAATGTAAGCTAATTTCACCAGTTTTATTATCGTTTAACATTAATTTATAACAGTTATAACTTGTCTATTTATAACTTTTTAACATTACTTTATAACAGTTATAACTTTTTTATTTATAAATACTACATGTGTCTTTAAAGTAGATTGGCTTTTAACAACCTAAACTATACTAATTTTTAAAAGTAAAGAAATAACTAATTATAAAATTAATATAATATTGGTGGTTTACTTATATCTTATACTTTTCACAAGACTCACATATTTCTTACATTCAGTTGCCATTTATTAAAAAAAAATTAAACTTGAGGCACTCTACTATTCATACATTTTCTAAACTTAAATTTGCATTATCTGAAATTAAACTTTGAAAAAAATGTTCTATATACATTACTAAAAAAATTTCAAAAATTTTTAGAATATAATAAAAATAAAATTAAAATATAAAAAATCTATATTAAATACAATAATCTAATAAAATAAAGATAAAACCTTTAAAATAAATCATAGAAAATTCTCTCTATATGAAAATTAGTAAAAACAATTTATTTACATGCAAAAGAACTTTTATACTTTATAAAATAAACAATATAACATTTGTATATATAAAGTACCATACAATATAAAATTTAAATTTTCAGAAAAAAAAATTTCATGACATTTTGGTTTATTTGTTGAAATCCAGGAAATTCCAGCATAGTAGCCACCATGCTAATTATAAGTTTACTAAAAATTAAAATACTTTATCTCTTACCATAAAAATTTCTTTGCAATGACCACAAGAAACTCTGACCCTGGAATCTCCACTACCTAATGGAATTGATGTTTCAGATATAGTTGAATGAGGGATACCTCCAACATTGATTACTCGTTTACTAGAAAAGAAAAAAAATGTAGAGTGTTTGAAAAAAAGAACTTAAGACACGTGATATTAAAAAAAATTGAATCATTGATTTTTTTATTGTTTTGATTAAAGGTTACTATTAGAAACCATTTAGAAAATGTTATTTTAATCTTTTTTTGTACCAAAACAAAAACTAATTTTGTACAAAAACTATTTCCTCACCAATTTTGTCTAGGACATGAAATGCGAGTAGAAGTAGAACGACAGGTTAATAAAGCATTACAAGGACATCGAATATACTTTTTTCCTTCAGGTGGCGCTTTTATTGGCTAAAAAATAATTACTTTAGTTAAAAAAAAAGGAAAATCATTATACATTGAACCATAAAATATATATTGAATAATGTGTGTGTGTGTGTATATATACAGTGGCTTGCCATATTATTAGAATTACTTGAATATTAACAAAATTATTTTAACTATATGTCTATAAATTTGCCAAATGTGGTGGAATAACAACTTTTTTTACTCTGGTAATATTTATCAAAATATTTTTATGCAAGATGTTAGTTTAAAAAATAAAATAAGCTAAAAAGTTTTGAGCCTGACCAAAAGAGTGCATACTTAATAATGAAAATGCCACTTAACTTATGTTACGCAGAAAAATAAGGTAAAAAAATTGCTTCAACTTTCAAGTCAGATTTCTTAGTATCAGCAAAGCGATTTGTATTAGAAACATTCACAAGATGTTAAGAATTCTTTACTAATTTAAAAGATATGTAAAAGTTTATCTGAGGTGACCGGCTAAGAAAAATAAATTTGTTTTTTTGATACTATGTATTAAACTTACATTACATCACTTACATTACCGAGCAATTTTTTATTCATTTAAAATAGTTAACAAAGGAAATTTTAAAAAGCTGGTGGCACTCTTCCTGAGTGATTTTTCATAACCATTATGAAAGTTATCAAATCAAAAATTGTTTTTCCGCAAGACCAAGAGCAACTTTAAAAAATTATTTTAGTATTACAACTTTATTCGTTTTTATTTGAGTCATTTAAATAAGAAAATCTTTAAAGAAATTTTTAAAATGCTGCAAAGTATTTCCATTTAAACCTTTAAAAAATTTTTTGACATAAAAACTGCTATCACAGTTTAAGAGGGAGAGGGGTTCAGGTATATGTGATTGTTTGTGACAAGAGGGAAGGGGTTAGGAATTGACAAATGATGTGATTTGACAAATGAGGTGACATGCTTTATGGATAACCCCCTTTAATTGCATTTACAAACAATTTGTTTCACTAAAACAAAAATAAAAAAAGTCAAACCAAAATAAGAATACATAAAAAAAAAAAAAAAAAAAACAATGATGTAAATAATCTCTATATATATATTACCTGTATTATATATTGCCGTACTTAATAGTTTTAATAGTTTTATTAGTAGCATCCCTTGGATTATATACAAACATATCTAACTATGTTATACACTTTAACAAACGAAAAGATTTTTTTAAAAAGCTAAAAATTCTAAAGACATTAAAAAACGGGGGGATATTTGTTGCATATGTGTCATGGTTGAGATACTTATGTTATTTTAGTTGAGATACTTATGTTATTTCAAATCATCAGCTTGCTTTATTTTTTAATTTTTGTTATTAAAAATGCAAAATAAAACAACTTTACAGTTTTACAGACTTTATTTAAATATATAAAGATGAAGTATACTAATCCCCCCGTTTTTTAATGTCTTTAAAGTTTTTTTACAACTAAGTTGAGTTTGTGCAAGAAAAATTAGTATACTTCATCTTTATATATTTAAATAAAGTCTATAAAACTGTAAAGTTGTTTTATTTTGCATTTTTAATAACAAAAATTAAAAAATAAAGCAAGCTGATGATTTGAACTTGCCACTCGGCGACCTTAACTTTTTTAAAACAGTATATGGGTTTAAAAAGTATGTTTTTTATAAGAACATAATTAAAAATTCTAATTTTATATTTAAAATAAATCATTTTATTAAACTAACTACTTATAAAAATAATTAAAAATTAAAGTTATTTAATATATATACAATAAGGAAATTTAGAGTTATACAGCTATTTTACCAGGCCCCTGTTAAACATTCAAAACTGAGTGCACAACAACGACATAATTTAGATAACTATCAAAATAGTATTATACTTTATTATATACTTTTTGGCATAGATTCGATCAGGTGATCAATGAAACTTTGTGGAATTGCTGCCCAGGTCTTTTGGATTTGTTTAAACAGTTGATTGGCATATTCCATTCAGCATGAGGTAACATAACACTTTTCAGGATATTTTTATACATGAAACGGTCCATTATTCCATCGATTTTATGTATTGGATGTACCTAGATCGTTAACAGAAAAACACCCCCAGACCATTACATTGCCTCCACCATGCTTCACAGTCGACGTACATGGCAAATGCCATCGCTCCCAATGATGTTGAACTTTGATTCATCACTGAACAGGACAGTTTGCCATTTCTGCACATTCCATTCAATATGAGATGTAGCAAACAGGAGTCTTTTCTTTTTGTTCTTTAGTGAAACCAGCAGTTTTTTTGCAGGGCGTCGAGAAAACAATCCAGCTTCAACAGCATGTCGTCTGATTGTTCGGTCCAATACAGGCAGCTCTAATTGCTTTTGTATCTCAACTGATGTTATCCAGGGATCCTTCTTGATGGATCTGACAATCATAGAATCCTCTCTAGAAGTGGTGGAACGCGGTCTTCCACCTTTGTTATCTGCAGCCAACTTCCCTGTAGAACCATATTTGAGACATAGTCTTGATACGGTCCATTTTTTCACGCAATATTTATCACAAATACTTTTTTGTGACATTCCACTTACATAATCACCAATAACTTTCTTTCTTAGTTCCAATCCAAGACTGTCGGGAGCCATTTTTGCACTTGAAGTCATAAAAATAATAAAAATAAATAATCACGCTTCTTAAGGCTTACTGTGTTACATTTACCTTGTAATGATACAATAATGCTCTGTGGAACACAGAGCATTATTGTATCATTACAAGGTAAATGTAACACAGTTGACTGATTGATTGACTTCCATATACTGACTGATTGACTTCCATATACTGACTGAATTACATGTCGGTTTACATGTCTCTTATATAGTAAAATGAACCTGTGAACCTGTTCTGGAAGATTCTAGATGCTTCTTTTCGATGCTTCTTTTTGATGCTTCTGGAAGCTACTGGATGCATCTGGATGCTTCTGGATGCATCTGGATGCTTCAGGATACTTCCTTTAATTATTAAAAAACTTCCCTGACGTTGACACGGACCAGACTTAAGAAAATGAAACAAATCAAAAAAGTTGCACTTGTTTTGTCCGCTGCAAAATGGCACATGTCAACGAAATTCTGTCTGTGTGCTGTCACCTTTCAGCTGATTGCTCATGTCATGGCATACTATGACTCCAGACTCCTGAACTGTTTGTTGTGGTAGTATAGTTCGTTTCCTTTTTAAGACATGTAAAATTAGGAACACTTTTTAGCATTGTTTGATGTTGGTTGCAAATGTTTTGTTCAATACTGAATATATATATATATATATATATATATATATATATATATATATATATATATATATATATATATATATATATATATATATATATATATATATATATATATATATATATATATATATATATATATAAGGAAAAAGTATAGAAAAGGATCAGATCAGCTAGTTTTAATTAACATGTAAAATATTTTTTTTTTTTTAAATTCTCCTAATATAAAAAGTTTCAGTTAAAATCTTGTGGACAAATTATGAGTTACTTAATGATATAATTTAATTGTTAACAAAAAAGCGCCAGAACTTTAGTCAATGAATGTAGTTTTAACTTATGTTACAGAAGTTTAAAATAAAAATGTGCATTAACTAAACGTCGTTTTTTAAAACTTTAAATGCAAAAACGTAACATTTAATATTCTTTCGCGTATATTATTGAAAACTTGAGTTTTTTAACTAAATTTTAGAAAAAACAAAACTTTATCATGTTTTTGAAAAAAAATGATAAATATGAAAAATAGAAAGAAAAATTTAGTTTTAAATGCAGTAGTATATAAATAATTCTCAGTTTAATTTAGGTACCTCATTTTTTCTTCAGGAAAATAAAAAGAATTAAAAATAAATTGCTTTTTTACATAACTACGTGACGTTATTATTAACTAGACATAACTTTTAAAAAAATGAAAGTCGTAACAAAACTTAATTTTAAAATCACGTTGAAAAATTTTATAATAATGGAATGTATAAAAGATTGAAGTTTTGAAAGCGCTTTTAAATATTCATTCAGCGTAAGGTTAATTTTTGTTTTTGGCAATTAAGAGTAAACTGCTTTTGATAATAAATGAAAAAAAGTAAAAAATATCAGTCCTTGAAACTATCCCGCAAGTTTAATTTTTTTATGAATGAATTTTTGATCTTTAGCTTGCTATTTTAGTTTATGTGAGGAAAACGAAAAAACGAAGTATAAACTTTTTCAGACATTTTTTTTTCCTTTCAATATTATTTTTAAAATAATAAAAAAAAAGGTTTCAATAATTTAATAAAATTTTTATTTAGATCTGTTTAAAACAACCGTAAATGTAATTATTTATTCAAATGCAGTTTTTTAAATTATTCTTAACAATTAATTTTTTTTTTTTTTGTAATTATACGTTTTAATATAATATGTTTTAATCAAAATAATAGAATATTTTTTATATTATGTTTACTGTAATTATCTCTTTGATTATCTTTAATTTAAAAGGCGTCTTAAAATCACTTTAAAAATTATAACCTTTAGTAAAAGTTAAATGAACAGATTTACTAATATTTAAATCAAAATTTTAAAAAATAGAAAATAAGTTTATTAAATGCCTATGTTTTAAATATTTAATTAAATGCCTATAGTTTATTAAATATGTTTATTAAATGTTATCGAATTTGTTTATTAAATGCTTATATTTTTAATTCAAATACAAAACGTAAAACTATTTTGTTAATTTTACAAATATTACGCGATAAATTATATGTAAATATATTATGTAATGTAAATATTGATTAAAAATTGTTTAAAAGATTTTTAATTATTATTTTAAATTAAATTTATTAAAATATAGTTAATAAGTGTTTAAAATACTTTAAACAATTTTCAATAATAATTTACTGATAGTGTGGTATATGCATCAAAAGCGTAAAATAGTTTTCTTTTAGCTAAAGTAACATCGTCCACCAGTAAATTCATGCATTAAAAAAATCCCTTTAAATCAACACATTATAGGATAAAACTGAACAAGATAATTATAAGTGATTCTTAAGAAAAAGATGATTAAAATTTATTGTTGAGGTACCCGTTTAACTGAGGAGAGTGAGGGGGAGGGGAAATCAAAAACAATTTTCACGCTAAATTAATTCTGATTATGCAAAGAAACTTATGGTTAAAATAACATTTTACAATGATATAAAATAGTTGTAAATAATATATATTAGGATCTATAAAAATTTATTATATATAGTAGTTTGTAGTAAAATTTTAAGCCTTCCAAATCAACTCTAAGGTAAGAAGGTGGTTTTGGGCAATATATATATAATAGATAGTTTTGAATTATAATATATCTAATAGAATAAGGAAGATACAGATTTTGTGTGACAATATTATTTAACTATTTGATAAATGTTATCTGATACATTCAGGTAAATGTGTCCTTCTAATAAAGTCTTGGATCAGCTTTATGTGATGTTTTACCCAATTATTTATTACTGCAAACTGATTTGAAGAATATAACTTTGCTCAGTGACAAAGTCATTAAGAGATGACATTGGAACAACGACTGGCTAGATTCCAGGTTTCTCAAGCCCCATATATTCTTTTTTTAGAATGGCAAAATACAGCAATTTGTTAAGGATGTTGTTCTTGACGTCGGCATCTAGATCCCTATCAGCAAGAAATAAAACCACAAGCTGGGGAGCTAGATACTAAGTGTACCATAGAAGGCTTTTGTTGAGAACCTTCCCAATCTCTGCATAAAATTACAAAAATCATCTGTAATTTGGAGCTGGTCAACTATCTTAAAACTTATTAGGTCATTTGAAGGAGCTTAAGATGCCATGGGACTCTTCAGAAAGAAAAGACCATGGAAAAACATGAGTAGCAGGCACTATTGTTTTTAAATCATTCAGATGATGGACCTGTGTCATGCACACAACAAGAAGGTAAAAACAATCACTCATAAACTTGGCCTCATGGTGAACTCCTGGCTGCTTGAAGAAGAAATTAGGTATATCTGCACCCAGGAAGTAAGCCAGTAACTGGCAAAGATACTTGAACTCTCCTCTCTGGAAAAGTGTTTCTCTGAAGTGCTGTAATGCAAAATACTTTAGTTTAAACTGCAAGTTGGTACAAAAGAATACCTTGTCTAAATGCATCCTGAAGCCATTCAAATTCTTTCAAGTTTATTAACTTCTCTGTGTACTTGCGGCCATAGCTTCTGAAGCAAAACATAGATGTGTTTGCTTAGACTTTTTGTCATAACAAAAATAAGTTCCATGACATGAGACATATGCCTTTCATATATGGGTTGTCTGCACATTAGCCAGAGAACAAGCCTCCCAAAAACATGAACAATAACATTCCTTATAGCTCTTTTGTTCTTTCCTGTGTTGCTAGCTGTGGTGTCGGCACACACCCTAATGATGTGATCTGATAGCTCGTTAGTATTCAAGGATTCTTTGAATGGTTATAGCCTGGTCTCTTCCCTTAGAGCTTTTAATTTTCAAAATGTCGAGCAGAAAATCTTAGAGAGTCTTCAGGAGAAAAAACACCTATAGCTATCCTTTCACGACTTGTGGAAATTGCTTCTTTACTGGTGTACTGTTAAAGATGTTAGCCTTATGAATTGGAAATAAGAAGTTACTTTCATTTAGAAAGTTGTTTACTTTCTTGCATTAGCTTCCTTCTGGTAGAGTCAAATATTTTCAGTAGCTTCCTTCTGGTGGAGTCAAATCTTTTCAGGGATTGATACTTACTGATCTTATTGATAATTTTGTTTTGTGAGTATGAAATTATTGTTGAACCCAGCTTTGTCTCACAAATTTACTAGTTCTCTCAAAATGCAAACACCTCTGATTGTCTGTCGCCAATTCTCTTCACACTTTCTTTCTGTTAACTTGCTGTATTTTAAATAACCTTTTCCAGAAGTAAATGCACATCCAACTTTACAGTTCATCTTGGTAGTACTAAAAAAATGTCAAATGGTTAAGTACAAATAAACAGATAAAATTCAGAAAATGTTTAGATTATATACCTAGTTTCTTTTCTAATGTTGATCCAGAAAAACCTTCTGAGCATTTCTTCAGTAGTTGGAAGTCAACTTAGAGCAAAGCCTTGCAGTAGAAAGCCTAACAAATAAATATGTCTCAAATCTTCAGCTGGGTCTAGTATTGTATTCTGGCTTTTTTTTTCTTAAGCCATTGTCTGAAAATATAGCTAACAGTAATATAGATAACAGTAATAATAACAGTACTAACAGTTTATAAACTTATATATATTCATATACTTATAGTATAAAATCTAGTTTACAGTACAGTAGTTTGTTTTGTAACAGCAAATAATACTATTAAATTTGCCAAGCAAAGAAATGTGTACCATATATAGCATACATGTGTTGTTTTTTATTATAAGAATCTACACTTAAAAAATTATTTGAAAAAAGTCACTTAACAATGGAAAAATAAACTTTAATGAAATGACAACTTACTTATAATAATTAAGTAAAACTTTTATATGGTTGCACACAATCTTTTAAAATTTTAATGTTATAATGTTAAAAAATATTAAAATTATATAAATAATTTTAATATTTTTTATATTATTTTATTATATTATTTAAAATTATATAAATAATTTTAATAAAAAATTTAAATAAAATAAAAAAGTTTTTATTAAATTCTCTTAAATATAAAAATGTTATTATAAAACAGTAAATTCGCAATATAATATTTGATTATAGAGAAATGGCCTAAAATCATCTTCTTTATCTTAAATTTAAAGCTGAAATTTTCACTATAAGCTAATAATACATATTGATAACGATTGAACTTGTCTACATTTTAATTTTCAAAAAAAAAATTGATGACACACCCTAATAAACACACACAAAACTTATTATTGATATTTTCAATGTTTTTTTTTAACTTTATTTTTTATTTAATAATTTTAAACAACCAATGTTTTTTTTTAATAAACTAAACTTAATATTTTTTATAACTTTAGTTTATGTTGTATTTTCTAATGAGTTTATAACTAATTAAAAAAATCCAGAAAATGTAACTAATTTATTTAGAATTCAAATAAATGTAATTGTTTATTTGAATTCTAAATAAATTAAAATAAAAATAATAAAATGAACATTTTAAATAAACTTGGAAATATTTTTCCTGAAAATACTCAGAAAAAATCCAAATATATTTTCAAGAAATATTTGGAAAATTCCTGTAATAAAAATGTATTTTTATGTTTAACTATTATTATGTTTATTTAACTATTATTGTTTTTTATCTTTTTTTTTTCAAAGTTTCAGAGAATATGTGCATCAAGGCGCACATAAACCAACTGTTATAGCTATAGTCACAATGAGGTCCGCATACATGGATTGATTTAAATATGGATAAGCACAGTAGAGTGTACATACATCGACTGAGAGTTTAGATTTTGGCAAGCATTCTTTTATATAAATTAATATAACTTATTCAAAAATTATTAAATTAAACTACGTTTTTAGGTGAAATAGTCAAAATAATTAATAAATACAATAAGAAGCGTACAAATAAGAAAAAATTAGTTGTACACGTATACAAATAATGCTTAACCTAATTAAATACAGCATAGAGTAATTGATGAATGATACCTTTATTGATTTAACTATTTGATGACAAAAAAATATTTTTAACTTGTATTTCCAGAAATGTAATTTTCCTAATTCCAAAGGCTGAATAAGTATTCTCTGTCTGATCTGCTAAATAACCATTCTGTTTATGATGATAAATAATCAAAAAAAAATTAAGAATTCTAATTTCACACTATTTTAATTTTTTTTTTTTTTTTTACTTATTGTCATTGTTGATGACACTCAGAAATTCAATGTTAAATAAAAACTTTTGAAAACTAAAATTAATTGTATTTTATTGAGTAAAACTTTTTTTAAACAACTAAAATAGATTTAACTATTTATCATTTATTTTGTCTTCCAAAAAATCTTAAAAATTCTCTTAGAAAAATTTAGAAACTTAAAAAGATTAAAAGAGATATTCACGGATAAAGCAGTTTTCAGTATTCTACAACTTTTCATGACTTCTGTAACCTTTGCGGCTACCCTAACTTAATAAATGTAAGAAAAATAAAAGCACGTATAAAAGACATATGGGTTTATACTTATGTGACTAAAACCAGGAGATTAATCTGGTTCTTTAATGGTTGCTTATATATTTTTAAAAATGCACAATAATCAAATTAGTTAAATTTTTTTTTCTGTGTGTTAACTTTGTTACTTACTGTTGCTTCATGACAGTTCATGCACTTTACAACGCGTTGCCCTTCTCTGCCGCGAATATAAACAAGTTGTTGGCATACCCTACAAACCACAGTTGGGCCATTTAAAGCACCATTTTCAATTAAAGCATTGTTTTGAATCCCTAATGTGTAATCTGATGGTTCATATGGTGGTGGTGGTGTATTAGATATACCTCTTATATCAAATGTGGTAGGACCTAAAAATAAAGTTCAGTTATTTAACAATTAGTAAATGTTATGGAATGTTAAGTTATATATTTAAATAATTTAAATATAAAATAAAAAATAAAAAATATGGTTTTACTTTTAAAATATTTATTATTTTCTAAAACTGACTCCATAGTGATTCAGATATATTTACCCCTACTATATTGTTAAAAATAAAAAAATATGTATATATTAAAGTATTATTTAATGATCAAAAGTCTTGGGGTGTTAGCAAGCCTGACAATTCTATAATCTTTGTCCTGATTCAATTTTTTATGAAAAAAACTCTATTAAACTAACATTTTATTCAATTAACATTTTTTTAAAGAAAAAATTCACATAATAACATTCTATTCAATGAACAAAAGTGAAAACAAAATAATTTCAAATAACAAAACTGTTTTGTGGCTAGGGAAATCATGAACACCACAATATACTAGATTGAGAAAACAAATTTAGAGAGCTAAATTAGTAAATAAGTATTAAATTGTTTAAACATTATTAAGTCAAAACAGCATCATATTTAAACAGTATCACATTTAAGCAGTGTCATATGCTGGACGCATTTTTTTAAATATAATTGGACCTTTTGCTATATATAAGTTATAACTGATCTACAATTGAATACAAGATGATAGATTAGTTATACTAATTCATCATCTTTAAATGTTTTTAAAATAATTCATGATTATTTCAACACAATTATAATTTCTAGTATTAAACCTCTTTAGGGGTTTCCATATATTATGCCACACAATTTTCGATTGTTTTTGACCTGCTTCCCCCCACTCGTCACAACACTTTAGTAACAAGTCCTGTATGAGTCATAATTTATGGACAACCCCTTATATAGCAGAAATTGAGATTACTATGTAACTAAAGTGGATTTGGTTTTACAGGTCATAGAACATACTTTAAGCTTGCAGTTTACATAAAATATATTAGTACAACTATGTTAATTTTGCAAAAAATGTTTAAATAATTAATATATTTCAACATATATTTGAAATAATAGAAACCTTACAGGTTCAAGTCTAAAAATATCCAGACATCTCCAAACTTTACCATAAGAAAGTGTCAGACTTAGATGCTAAGTTATCTCTATTCTCTTATAAGAATTTCAATCTAATGTTGTATACTCTACTGATAATACAAATGTTTAATTTTATTAAAACAGAAAATTATGTATGTATAACTTTTAAAAAATCACAATATTATTTATATCACAAAATTTTTTTTCTTAAATTGTCAGTCAATTTATGTGCACTTATTTATGGTTAACCTATTCAGTTACCAATGAATAAACTTTAAGAATTTTTAAATGCATCTCACCTGACTCTTGAAATTTTTACCTGTGGCAAAAGAAACTTACCTTGGAAAAAAAAGTCTGACATAAAACCCTTATTTTAGGAGAAGCTTATAAGTTTAGAATGGTTATTATTTTAGTGGTATATTGCAATAAAAATACTTAGTCCTGATTTGCAAAACAGGTTTATCTAAACCATAGACGTTAAACTTTTAAATAAAAACTATTAACCAGCAAGTTAATTGCACACAACTACATTGTTATAAAGTTGTTTTTTAGTATAAAAAACAATCATTAATTCTTAATTATTATTAAATTCTTTAGAAAACTGCACTAGCCTAAACTCGATATATTAAATTCTTTAGAAAACTGCGCTGCCTGAACTTCATTTAAAGTATTTATCTGAAGTTGAATATGAAGTTCAAATAAATATTGATAGATCTTTTTAGTAGTATGTACTTGTATGTTACAGGTAACTTGTCAATTAACCGAAAAGTAATTATGAAAAATAAATATTCGAGAAGTAAATATTAAAACCGATTGATTCTTATATGAAATAAAGAATCGTAAATTGCAATAAATATGTAACTATTTACCTTCGCGGTACAAAACCCGATCCTCTCTATTTTCTTGTATAAGAGGTTCGTCACTATCATCACGCTCGATCATTTCATACACACATATATATATAAACCTATAACATTCTTTATAATAAATTTAAAAATATGGAAGACATTATGAAAAACATTACGGTGGTAATCATTTACATCACGTGAGATTCATATTTCCATGGTTTACTTTTTGTAGCGATCTCTCCTCCTCGTATTTATTATTGCAATAAACTTTTTTTTTCGGAGTTGTCAAACTCGAGAGAAAGGAATCTATAGGGGGAAAAAATGCCGAGATCAAGTCATACTTTTTTAAAATCGTATCACCATTTAAAATAAGAAAGGTGCTAGCGTAGCAGTTAACTGAAAAGATTGGGGAGCGCAAAAAGCAAATTGTATTACAAATTAAATATTTATGAAGTGCCAGGAATTTCAACATTTTACTTTAAACGTTATCATTTGATTTATAAGTTGTGAATTGTGCACATTGTCTCATTTATGCACAAAGAAATTTATAAATATTCTTAAGAATTACTATTTTAAATTATTTTATTGATTAATGATATAAACTTTCAACCATTATGGGGGTGACCCCCCCCCCCCCATCAATGATTTTTAGTCGGCAAACTGGACCCTTTGTCGGCAAATCGGACCTTTTTAGACTAGTTAGTCGACCCTTTCGATATAGGTTAGACAGTCGGCAAATGTCGTAATGACAGTCGGCAAATTTTGGAAAACGAGGACCTTTTTTTCTTTTTTTTTTTTTTTTAGTCGGCAAAAGTTGTAATGGCACCCCCCATGTGACACCTACTCGCGCCGGCCCTGTATATATATATATATATATATATATATATATATATATATATATATATATATATATATATATATATATATTTAAGCGCATTTTTTTAATAAATATTTTTAAAGCGTGACTTTTTTTAAGCGCATATAACATGCATTACTTTGCATTTTTTGCATTCAACGTTAAAATGCATAAGCCAAATATGTGGCAATTCCACTGCTCAGTTAATATCAGCTTAGAGAGTGATGCTGTCAGTATATATATATATATATATATATATATATATATATATATATATATATATATATATATATATATATATATATATATATATATATATATATAATTAAAAAAGTTGGTCAACAAAATAAACAATGAACGAAATATTTTCTTCTTTTAATTTTACAAAAATTACTCTAATTATAAATTTTAGCACAAAAAACAAACAGGAAGTGATAATTATTTAATGTTGCTGTTAGCAACTATTGTAACCTATATTGTAATGTCAATTAAAAGTATCATGTGAAAATGTTTCTCATAAGAAATTAGGTTTTTTTCATTTTTTAGTTCCACAAACACAAAAAGCTGGAAAAAAGGTTCTATAATGGAGTTATGCGAACGTTGACAATTGTATACATGGTTATCAAACCTATCTGTTGATTGCCCAGTTCTACAACTAGAAATGTGCCCATTAGTGCGAAGTCGTAGGTTATTTGTTTTTCCGGTGTATGTAGCTTTCTTGTTACATGACAAACATTTTAAATAACATATTACATTCTTACTATTACAAGTAATATGGTTTTTTATGTTCCATATAGTACCATTTGATGTCGTAAATGATTTAACTTCTTGAAGGTAGAATTTACATATTTTGCAACAATTATCATTGCATTTAAATAATCCTATTTCTTTAGTGGTTGATTGTTTTTGTGTTTTTGACAATGTTTGTGGAGCTAAAAAATGAAAAAAACCTAATTTCTTAAGAGAAACATTTTCACAACCAAAAACATGATACTTTTAATTGACATTACAATATAGATTACAATAGTTGCTAACTGCAACATTAAATAGTTATCACTTCCTGTTTGTTTTTTGTTTTTAATTATATTTTGTTGTTATAATAACAAAAACAGCACTACTGATGATTTTTTGAAAGGCCTCTAGTGCTAAAATTTATAATTAGAGTAATTTTTGTAAAATTAAAAGAAGAAAATATTTCGTTTATTGTTTATTTTGTTGACTAACTTTTTTAATTATTGGTTATAAACATATTTCAAGTTATATATTGAAAAAAATGCGCTTAAATATATATATATATATATATATATATATATATATATATATATATATATATATATATATATATATATATATATATATATATATATATATACATGACAGGTGAAAGAAACAAAAAACATGACAGGTGTTTAGTAGATGATATTGTTTTTGTTGCTCGATGTTGGATTTGCTCGATGATGGCAATATCGGACTTTAAATGCGGCGACCAGGCACGCGAAGAGTTTGAATAGCAAATTCTAGGTGTGTCTAGTCGCCGCATTTTGCATAGTAAACTCTAGGTAAGGGCGAATGTAAATAAGATACAGTGTGCGCTTTAAACAACAATTGCGATTGAAAAATATTTTTTTGAGCCGCTCTAGCATTCTATTTGGTACTCTACTTGTGGTCAAACGTTAAGATAGTTGGAGACTATCACGCTAAGGTCTTGTTCAAGGTAGAGTCTTTTCGAGTGGACGACGCGTGCTGTTAAAGTTAACCATTGAGTATTCGTGCGTCGACTTTTTTTAAGCGCAAATAACATGCCATACTTTTTATTTTTCAACGTTAAAATGCATAAGCTAAGTATGTGGCAATTCCACTGCTCTGTTAATGTCAACTTAGAGAGTGATGCTGTCAGACTCATTTTTAATTATGCCAATAGTTTAAGTGTCATCGGCATATATGTTCATGTGATGAGTGATGCTGTCCGGCAAGTCATTAATGAAGATTCCGTTGTACAATATTGTACTACAATATTGGCTCGGTCTTAGACCGAGTCTTGAGGCACGCCACTAGTGACCGCTTGCCATTTAGATGTGATGTCGTTCATAGCCACTCGTTGACTTTAGTCGCTTAACAAAGCAGAGATCTAGTTTACAAACGCGCTTTGAATACCGTAAGCTCTTAATTTATGAAGAAGACGTTTATGCGGCACTTTGTTAAACGCCTTCACAAAGTTGTATATATAAAGTTGCAAAGTCTGTGTATATGAAGTCTACTGCGTGAATGCGATGAATCGCTTCCGTCATGATGTCCCGTCATGATAATTTTCTAACTGGTTTGAGACGCAATCCTTGCAATAAACAAAGACATGCATCAAAAATTTTATTTTTGATTAAGTTTATGGGAGTTTTTCAACTGACATTTTTGTCAAGAAGAACACCTAGAAAATTCATCTTGTGTACTCTTTTTATAATTTGATTCACAATGCTAATATTTGGAAGCTCTCGAGGAATTTTGTCTCTTTGAAGAAGGCGATGAAAAAAAATGTATTTAGTTTTGGTTAAGTTTAATGACAATTTATTTGTATTAAACCATTCAGTTACCATTCAGGTACTTTGAAACATTGTTTTAAAATAGTGTTTTTATATCACTATAGGAATATAATAAACTAGTATCGTAAGCAAATAAAACTGGGTCTAAATTATTCAAAACTTTCTTTAAATCGTTAATGTATAATAAAGCAAAAAGAGTCCTAAATTGGATCCTTGATAAGTTTCGCAAGTGGTTATCTTATTTTCGGTTTTACTACTATCATAAGAAACATACGGTTTTCTATTAGACAATTAGTTTTTTTTAAGTTTGTGTTCTTAACTCTGTAATTTACGAGTTTTTTTAATAAAATATGGTGTCTATTACTTCGTAATTTACTAGTTTTTTTCATAAATTTAAGGGATCAACTGTGTAGAAGACTTTTTTTTTTTTTTTTCTTTTTCACATCTTCGCTTCCAACAAGGCTACAAGCAACCACTAATTAGTGTTGAAAGTTACTGGAAGAGAAAAGAAGAAAGTTGTAGAGCAAGATAACGATTGACAGATGACTTAAAAGGTTGCAAATTATATGAATCAGGAAAGCAAGATGAAGAAAGCGAATTCCAAAGAACTGATGTTTAAGGAAAAAAACTAGACAAATAAGAGTTTTTGGAGCACTTAGGAACAGTAACAGAAAAAGGATGAGACTTAATTGAATGACGAGTAACACGAGAATGAATTTTAGTAGATGGCACAAGAGACGCTAGCTCTTTAGAGCAATGCCCATTATAGTATTTGTAGAAAAGAGAAAGAGAAGCAACATTACGACGATGTGACAGAGGTTGAAGGTTGGCTGCAAGAGCAGGTCCAACTATGTTTACAATGCGTTTTTGCACCTTGTCTAAAAGAGAAAGTGCATCATTAGAAGATCCACCCCAGATATGGCAACAGTATTCCACACAAGGTCGGATTTGAGATTTATAGAGATAGAGAATAGAACCCAGAGTAAGAAAGTATTGAGCTCGATAAAGAGATGCAACTTTAGTAGATGTTAATTTTGCAACGGATTTGATAAATGGTTTCCAAGAAAGATTAGAAGTGAGTATTAATCCTAGAAGATGAAGGGTAGATGACTCATCGAGTACATTACCGTTCATAAATATAGGAAGGTCTAAATTATTGCGATAACGATTGTCTGAAAAAAATTGAGTTTTATCTGAATTAAAGTTCACCAGCCACTGTGAGCCCCATGCTGTAGCAGAAGTGAGATACTTTTCAAGCTCAAATGCCCTCTGCAAGCAATCAGTTGGCTTCTTATCATGACAAGAATATATGGTAGTATCATCAGCGAACAATGCCACCTTAGATGTGAGAATATCTAGAAGATCGTTAATGTAAATTAAAAAAAGTATAGGGCCAATGATTGAACCTAGATGAACCCCGGTTACAGAATAATAAGAAGAGTGCTGTCCATCAAGGACAACTTTTATACTACGATTGGGAAGAAAGAATTCAATAATCTTAAAGATGTTTCCAGATACACCGTAAGAAGAAAGTTTATGGAGAAGACCAGCATGCCAAACTTTATTAAACGCTTTAGAAATGTCAAGAGCAATTGACTTAACCTCTCCACCTTTATCTAATGCATTATAAAACCTATCGGTTATTACTGTTAGCAACTTTGGTAAGACCAATAAAAATTACTTTGTATAAACGTTACTTTGGTAAGACCAATAAAAATACCCAATGTGTACTCTTTTTTATCAAGTGCTCAAAAAATATTATGCACAAGTTTAATAATAGCATGGTCAGTTGAATGACGTTTTTCGAACCCAAGTTATTGAAATTATGAGCAGCCGTGGTACAGTGGTAGCGCACTTGCCTCAGAAACAAAGGATTCTTGGTTCAAACCATACTCTGGGAAAGTTGTGTTAAATAAAGTAGGAAGGAGGCGTGAACTACCAATTAAAGGCTCATCCGCGGTGCTCTGTAATAAGACCGTTTTGGGGGCACAACGAAATTTAAAAAAATTAAACAAAATTAAAAAAATATATATATACATTCTAATTAGAAACATTAGAAGAAACTCCCGATTTAAAATCCTTGCAGTTTTAAAATTTTCTGGAAAAATTCCTTATTTTGAAAAATTAAAAAAATTAAAAATATATTTCTATTTATAAATAATCAGCGCGTGTATAAATAAATAGCACATAGATTTTATTACAACATTACTGCTTATTTCATCAATTCATAATCCTTTGTTCAGTTTTAACGCGGGAAAAGTACTTAATAATTTATTTTCAGTTAGTTTATTGTTGATCATTACTTTTTTATTAGCGGTTAAATATGACACTTAATTAACCGGACTTTAGTTTTAAGGCTAACTTTGGTCCTAAACAAACAGAAACCTGATTAAATGTTTATAGAATGGTTGATTCATAATATATATCAACGTCATTAAAGTTTATTATTTTTAGGAAACAGTTATTAAATTTTTTTTTACTAATTAATTCTTTAATACATTTCAGGTTTTTTGAGTGTCGCCCTTAAATTTCAGTTTATAACTATAATTTATAACTAGGTCAAAAATACCTTCATATTATTTATACTTGGATTATTTATCAAATATACTTTTTTTAAAGAAATTTATCATACAAACGTTGTTTCTTTTTTGATGATTTTAATATTCCGCTTATTATCCAGAGTTCAAATGCATTTTAGATTTACTAACTTTTGTTATCTCCGGAAATACATTATTGTAATGTTTTTGAAATATTTGAAAAAAATTGTCGTAGGCTTCTGTTAGTTCTATTTATTTGTAATTTTTTTTTTGAGTTTTCAGAAGATAAAGATTGTTTAAAAAGTTCAATAGTAACGTTTTTATTTTTTCGCATAGTTATTTTCACTTTTTATGAGTAGACATTTTTGTTTTAAAAGTAGGAAAATGGTCCGATATACCGGATATAAATATTCCAATTTTAACTTTTGTAAACTTGTTTGTTATAGTTTGACCAATTGAGGCTGCACTATTTTATTATAGTTATTCTAGTTGATTTGTTTATGGTTAGAATGAATCCATTTTGAAATACTACGTTATTTCTGAAGTTTCTATATGAGTCATATTTTAGCACATTTAAATTTATAATATAAATTTATAATATTAAACTTATAATATAAATTTATAATATAAATTTATAATATAAATTTATACAAGGTAAAACAAATATAAATGCATTAAAGGTATTAACGCATTTACCGCAAACATCTTTGTTTATAATTAAACTTCCTTGGATGAGAATCAATGAAGTTAAGTTTAAGTGACCAAGTTTTTTTAAATATCTTGATCAAAGAATAAAATTTTTCATTCTTCTGGCATCTAAGATTTTTGGAATGACAGAAAGCTGCTTAAACTTTTGAAAGTGGAACTAGATTAAAATGCATGACTTTAATCCTAGCACCACTAAAGAACATTTGTTGTTCCAAGTTTATGCAGTCTCCACATATTTTCTAGCGGCCATTTTATATTCATTAGTTTGGTTATCATGAGGATAAACTATTTTGATGTCAAAATTTCTTTCTTTTTGTGAACTTTTTCTATCAATTTTGTATTAACTTAATACAAAAACGGTAGAAAATGTAAAAAATAAAAAATAAAAAATTCATAAAGAGAAAGTAAACGGTGTTAATAATTAAGAGAACTTAAAATCAAAGTTGATTTATTTAAATATTTTTATGATTAATTAATTATTATTTTTTTTTGACTGAGACAAGTTGATTGACATTATCAAATTTGTTTATCGATTTATGAATTACTTCATTATTAATAGAAATTGTTGATTCAGCTGGTTCAGAAACATTATAATTTTTAAAAGTTAAATACTTAATTGACGGCTAATATCCGCTAACTTGTTACTAGAACGACTTTTGTTCACTGTAATGTAGGGTGGGGTAATGTGGGTCTTATGGAATGTGTGGGTCTAATTAACTTTTATCATTCTTTTAGAAGAAAGTTTTTAAACAGATTTTTTTCTGCATGTTATAGGTTGTTAAAACAGCTCTCTAAATTTTAGTTATCAGCTTACTGGGCAATTTTTTAAGTATGTTTTTTATTCAAAACGGTGTATACATTTAAAGAGACAGTTTTATCAAAAAACTTCAGAAAAAGGGTATTAAAAAGGGGTCTAGCGCGTAGAAAATGTTTTATCTGGATGAAAAGTTACCAGATAACTAGGTTTAATTAGTTTTAAGACGGAATAATGCATTTTTTTTTTGGAAATATGCGTGTGATAATCAGAGGTGTAAAAAATAAAAAAAAATAGTACTCAAGTAAAAGTACTGTTACTTGAGTGAAATTTTACTCAGGTACAAGTAAAAGTTACCGGTCGAAAAGTTACTCAAGTAAAAGTAAAAAGTAGGTTTTTAAAAATGTACTAAGAGTAAAAGTTACTGCGTTACTTTTTCAGTAACAAAGCTGTCAAATAAAAAACAAAAATCACGTAGTCTATTCTTTTCTGTGCAAAAAAATTTTTTTTTGCACAGAAAGTTTTTTTTATAGTCGTAAAAAGTGAAAAGAAACCAAGCTAAAGCATTTAAAAATCGTTTTGAGCGCTCTCAACAATTTTTTCTAAACAATTTAAAAGTGTCATTTTTATTAAAGCAAAACTCAAAAAAACAAAAAAATTAAATCATAGTATTTGTGAAATTAAACAATACATAATAATTTTTTTTACTCAGTAACACATATGATTTCAAATGTAGCGAAGTACAATACTTTAGAAAAAAAATACTCAAGTAAAAGTAAGAGTACACATTTAAAAAAATACTCAAAAAGTAGAAATTCTGAAAATAACTACTCAATTACTGTAACGCGTGTAAATGTAATTCGTTACTTTCCACCTCTGGTGATAATGTGAATCTATATTTCAATGTGTTTTGTGCCGTTCAGAAACTAACGCTTATAGAACAATTGGCTATGTTTCTAAATTCATTTAAAATGAAAATTAGTATTAATTAGTGGTCTGGCTATGTTTCTAAATTCATTTTTGTGGAGTCATGTTGCTATGGATTCCTTTAGATGATCATTAAAGATGTAATGATATGTTTTTGATTAAAACTAGTTGATAACGCAGCGTAGCAGTTTTGAAGGATTGCACATTGAGTTTTTTATAAGATAAACGTTTTTTTATGCCGTTTTTGTCGGGTAATGAATCTCTAACATATAAGACAAAAAAATTTGGATAATTTTCAATAAAGTTTTCGCTTTAAATCCTTCCTTAAACATAATTTCATCATGCTATTAACTTTTAAAAGTACTTCGACTTTTAAATTTGAATATTATATATTCAATTTTGAGAATTATAATATAATTTATTCTATATAATAAAAAAATTGGTAAAAAAAACAAACTATGTAAATTGAACCACAAAAATGCTGTGCATTCCTCGAAAATTAGTTAGCATAGTTGCGTTTCTAATTTAGCGCTTTAAACGAGTTTTTTTCGAGAATTTTAACGAGTAAATTTTTTTTGCGTTTAAAAAATCTATTAAATTACTATTATGTTCAAACTTTTGATCAAATAACTTAAATATAGTACATACCCAATGACTTTTTGAAAAACAATAAAAATGTAACTTAGACTCACATTACCCCACTAAACGCGGTAATGTGGGCCTATGGAACACAAATTAGTACTCTTTAGACATCTTTAAAAAACTATGTATAAACCTTTTATTGATTTAGTTTACTAAAAATGTCTAATCATGGTTTTAAGTTTACCCCACTAAACGGGGTAATGTGGGCCTATGGAACACAAGTTAGTACTCTTTAGACATCTTTAAAAAACTATGTATAAACCTTTTATTGATTTAGTTTACTAAAAATGTCTAATCATGGTTTTAAGATAGTAGTTGTAGTATTTATTTTAATTAACTTTAGTTTCTTACTATTTTGAATAATTTAAAATATTTTTTGATATCAAAAGATTAAAATAATCACTTATTTGTAATTTTTAAAGTCGGTTTTCAAAATTTTTTGAAACCTCTTTGTAAATCCTTTCCGTATATGCCTTTTCTTTTCTTTTTATGGATATCAATTATAACATTCATAAAAATTGTCGAGTGTTTCATTCTCAAGTTTACACTGAAAAATCTTGTAAAAAGGTTTTACCAAAAATCACTAACGTAAAAACTTTTTAAAATCATTTAGGTAGCTTACAAACTTTATTTGTTTTACAATATCATTGTTCATAACTTTACTTTCTTTTAAAAATTTTCCGTAGATTTTGCTGTCGTTTCTTTTTACTTCTATAAATATATGGACTTCATTCACTGTCTTTCAGCATCGCAAGAAACATCAGCTTGAACATGTGGGGTACCGCAGCCTTAGATTCTGAAATTTGTAATGTTCTCAATATAGACTGCGGTAAATATTCTTCACTCTTGGTTTGCTTTGATATCGTACAGCTTGTGGCCGGCAGCTTCGGTTCTATCGTCGAAACCTATTTTTACAACATCATTAGGGTATTTATTGCTATATTTATATTATTATATTTATTAAAAAAAAAAACGCAGTAAAAAAAATGAAGATTCTTGATTTCGCACAAAAATAGTCATAAATTTTGATGTCTTCATAAGGAAAATAAATTTTGATGTTTGATAAAAAATAGCGTTAAAAAAATGAGAACATGTATTTTATAATTTCAACATAAACTCCTTTGATTATTATGAAAATCAAAGTTTGAGAAAAATTTTTAATGGTTTATTTGAAACTGGAACAATACCTTTAATTCATCGCCGCTCGAATCACAAGTCATTCATCATCATTAATTGATAACACTTTAACAACCAATTTTTCAAGTCGCTCAATAAGGTAATTATAAAAACCGATGTTTCCGATCACTTCACGATTTCCGATTTCCGATCACATCACGAAAGCAGGGAAAGCTTTAAATAAAAAAACGGCTTATCAACATTAACATATAAAATTCTTTTAGAGAACAATTATTACTTTATAGATTGCGGTTATATTAACTTTAATGGTAATATCAACTTAATCTACGACAATTTTTTTAAACCTTTTTACCAAGTGTATGATTCCAATTTTCCTTTAATTAAAATAGTTTTAAGCGATAAAGAAATTTCCTTGGATTACTAAAGGTCTCAGAAAATCTCATAAAGATATTAATATGCTTTTTACTAATATGACAAAAAAGTTTCTGTTTGGTTTAAACAAAATAGATTGTCTCTAAATACACTTTTTTATCCACCTTTAAAAAACCAGAAACTGCCCCACATCATGCCAGACCTTTTAATTGATAATATAATAATAAAAAGAGAAAGTTTCTCGGAGTCTTCGTCTTGGAGAAATCATATTAATAATACCTCCAATAAATTTTGAAATAGAAGCTAAATATAAAGCAAGAAATATATTAAGTAAACACTAGTTAACACAATTATATTATTCATTTACACATTGTCATATAAACTACGCGAATATTATATGGGGAAGCACTCACAGAACTAAGCTAAAATCTTTTTACCTTTATCATAAACACGCAACTCGCGCAATAAATATTAAAAATTGGTTTTTCCATACAAAACATTTTTTTTAAAGAAATGAATATTATAAATGTATATCAACTAAATGTCTTTAATATTTTATGTTTCATGTTTAAATGTTGAGAAAATTTGTCGCCAAATGTATTACAAAATCTTTATTGTATCAAATCTAAAAACAAATATAAAGTTCAAATTAATAACAATCTTATTGCCCCTTTTTGTATTTAAAGCAAATACCAGTTTTTTGTTTCTTACCGAGGTCCTTATCTCTAGAACAAAATAGTTTTACCAAATTTTAATTTTTCAACCCAACTGACTTTTGCTTCATTCAAACAGAAACTTAAAAAAATTATATTTTTAATTGAAAATATCTTGACTTATTTTTAATTTCTTTTTTTGTTGTTATTGTTGTTTTATTTTGTATATTATTTGGTTTAACATTTTATCTTGGCTTTTTAACATTTTATCTTGGTTTTTAAATATTTTTGCATAGAGGTGTATTATTATTACTATTTCACAACAGACATTGTATTTTCATTAAAAGTTAACCATATATTGTAAAGGGCTTCATGACAAGATCCTCGTGATCTTCTACAAGTGCTGTCGTTACTAATGTAAAAATTGTAAAATATATTTAGTTATTGTAATATTAAACCGCAAAATATTAAAAACAAAAAAAACCACAAAAACAAAGCACATTTAAAGAAATTAATAACTTATTAAATAATCTAATGGTTATATAGAGGATTCAAAAAAAAATTTAGTACATCCAGGCTATATATATATATATATATATATATATATATATATATATATATATATATATATATATATATATATATATATATATATATATATATATATATATATATATATATATATATATATATATGTATATATATTATATATATATATATATATATATATAATATATATACATATATATAATATATTTATATATTTAATATATATATATATACATATATATAATATATGTATATATATATATATATATATATATATATATATATATATATATATATATATATATATATATATATATATATATATGTATATATATATATATATATATATATATATATATATATATATATATATATATATATATATATATATATATATATATATATATATATATATATATATAGCCTGGATGGAATCCGAACATTTATCGTCGTGGTTTACGTAGTTCAGATTTTAAAGTTCTAATTCTTGATGGCGATGCTTCACATATAAACTAGAGTTGAAAAAAAAGCTTTAGAAAATTATATTTTACTTTGGCGTTTGCCGGCTCATACTAGCGATTGTTGGCGTTTTTAAAACAGTAAAATGCGAATGAAAGCGAATAGTCGAAAGTTATTTGACTAAAAATCATTTTTAAAGCCTAACAAATTGACATTTTCCGGCATGTTTTTGGATCTTATCCAAAATGGCGGGTTTAAAGCTAAAAATGCACGGAGTGTTTTCAAAAATACTTGTATATTTGCACTCGATCTACAAATTTTTTAGAAAAAAACTTCCATCAGTGCCGTGTTTCAAGCTGTTGAAAACAACAATATTGAAAATTTACCTGATTCTTTAACAGTATCTATTCCATTAGTTTTGGGAAATGCTAATAATACAACAAACACACCGTCAAGAATGTCAAATTTTTCCTAAAAAGTATTGCTATTTTGAATAATGCCGTTGAAACAAGTGGGAAAAGTTATAAACAAATCAGTATTAAATATGCTTCGAGATCAATTGACACCAACTCTAAATAAAAGAGTTCAAAGAAATGAGAGAATAAAGCGACCAGGTAATTATAAAATTATTTTGGCAGATGCCATAGCTTACGATGAAGCTGCGCAAGCATAAAAAAAAAAAAAAAAAAAAAAAAAAATTTGATGAACAAGTTGCAAAGAAATTAACTAGAGAGCAAAAAAAGATTATCACTGTTACTCAAAAAGCAGAAAAAGTTGAAACAGTCAGTCGGCTAAAACACCAGGTGAAAAGGTCGAAAGACAAAAAATCAATCAGAAAACATTTACCTTAAGCATAGATAAACAATGGCTTGCATGTGAGCAGTGTTTTAATTGGTCATGCACTGCATGTTTCGTTGATTGTCGTCCTACTACAAAATTTGTTTGAATCGAATTTCAATAAAATAATACATTTTCTTTTTTAACTAAACTCCATTTTTTTAATGGATTAAATTAATTATTTTAATGTTAGTATTAGCAGCGTGTGTGATTTTATACGCATTCAGAATTAGGGACATATATATCACTTAGGGACATATATGTCAATTAGGTATCCATAGACACTTAATTCTACACCTTTTTTTACGGAATTAGGTGTCTATAGACACCTAATTCCGCATAAAAACAATGCTTTTTAAAATAAAATAAAGATTTAAATTAAAAAAATAAAGTTTTTTTATATCGTTCAATTTGTCTTGTTATAAAGTTTATTTTTTTAAAAAAATTATTCCGAAATCTTTTATAATGAACGAGTTTTAAGTTCTAAACCACCCGGAATTAGAGGGTTTTACGTTTATATATATATATATATATATATATATATATATATATATATATATATATATATATATATATATATATATATATATATATATGATAACAAAATGAATATCAATAAACAAATAAACAAAAACTTTCACAAGAAGCATAAAACTATTTACATTATGTCCAAAAAACAGCTTACAAACAATTATATTATAATAACGGTTTCAATAGAGTGCTTGCCAGCTAAAATCAGCACACCGAAAATAATAAAATTGCCAAAAAAATCTCAAAAAAATTATAAAAATTTGCAAAACTTATTTCTTTTTTTAAAATTTTTACTTGTATCTATTAAAGTTCAAATAGCTTAAAACTATTTTTTTAAAAACATAAAAATTTCAAAACATAAAACAATTTTAATTTTTTAATATAAAAAAATAGAAAAAAAAGTTAAAACCGTTATCTTTAAAGAATGTAAAATAAAATTATGTTTTCCTCCTGATCGACTCTTGACAACGTTTGTTCGATTTTTAACCACTGGAGTCGAAATTTTTACAATCGCATCAACTTTAATTACCGAAGGGCCAAAAACAACTTCCATAATATATTGCCCACCATCAGAAAAATCAGTCTCTTTTATAATAAGGGTAGATGTCACTAAAGTGGCTGATATTTTATCAACCCACCACGACATTTGACTAGTTTCAGTGCTCACGATTTTACTACCATTTAGCTTCCATGAAATATTATCCGGCTATATATATATATATATATATATATATATATATATATATATATATATATATATATATATATATATATATATATATATATATATATATATATATATATATATATATATACATATATACACGCATATATAAATAAATACATACTTATATACATATATGTATATATATATATATATATATATATATATATATATATATTTATATATATATTTACATATACATACATATATATATATATAGGCCTGGCACATAGTGGAGTATTTGTATAACAAAATCGCTCAAAAATCAAAAAAAAAAAGTAAGCATAAAAATCTTATTAACCTAATAATTTTCAAGCTAGATAAAAAGCTTCATTAGATAGCGTTATAAAAAACTCTCCTCGCTTGTTCCTTTTGTCACATTTTCATTCAGAATGAAATACCCAAGAAATCAAAAAAGTGCCATAACAAGAATTTTAAAACACTTTTAGAGCGATTTCAAGAAAATATGGATAGCTGCAAGTTATAAACACGAAAATTTTATAAAAAACAATAAAAGATGGCTCAATTCAAACATCGAATTAATTTATTGGTCAATAAACGTTCGACAGAGACCTGGACGACCATTAAAATTATTTATAGAGCTTAGTGATTGCAGTAAGCGTCGAAAACTATGGATCTGCGCAAACAGGTATCTGCTGATGAGTGATGAGTTGACGTAAGCAGCTAGAGTGAGCCAGCGCACTTCAGGAAATACTGATGTAGCAAAATTTATTAAAGAAATTACTGCCACGCCTATGAGAGCAAAGAAATACCGAAAAGTATTTAACTCTGCTTCAAAAAAACTGTTAATAAATTAACATTTCAAGCGGCACTGGAAGAAGGCGATTTTACCAGAAAACAGTGGGAACTAATTCAAAATAGTTCCCACTCTTACAAAAGAGACAAAAATGTCTACCCCTGCTACTCAATAATTTAACAAACCAAAAAAGACCGTTACTATGATAAAGAATCAATAAGGAATACAAGTAACGGGAAATTTAAGCGAAAATTTAACTACAAGTATTGACAACACCACATTGCGCTTATATAAGTATGTCTCAGAGGTCGTAGAAAAGTATTTAGAAGAAGAATAGAAGAATATGGTTTTATTATCAAAATGGGGCTGTGATGGATCAATACAAGCAAAATTTAAGCAAAAATTTCAAAACAATAACGACAGTGATGCAAATATTTTTCAAAGTTCTTTATTATCTCTAAGAATGATTGTTAAAATTGATGGTGAACAGAAAAAAAATATATGGCAAAACCCAGTCACCTCTTCTCCAAGGTTCTGCAGGCCAATTCGAATACGCCTTATTAGTGAATCGAAAAATATAACAATGGACGAGGTAGAATACGTAAAAAACCAAAATAATGAATTTTAGGGAAAAAAGATTGCCCAATCAAATTGGAAAAATAAAGCATACCTTGTTTTTTACAATGCTAGATGGTAAAGTGTGCAACGCTGCAAGTGATATTACATCTACTACGAAGTGCTACATTTGTGGATAAACATCAAAAGATTTTAATAAATTTATTAAAAAACAAGCAAACCAAATTAGTCCTCTCATTTGGACTCTCGATTCTTCATGCAAAGGATCCTCTTCTTTGAATCGCTTTTTCATATAGCTTATAAAATACCTTTACAAAAGTGGTGAGCTCAAACAGACGAGGAAAAAGAAAAAAACAAGGATCTTAAAATTTTCTGCTTCGCTTTTTTAAAAAAGAAGCGAAGAAGAAAATTCAAAGATCCTTCAAAAAAAATTAGGACTTCAAGTAGATATACCTAAAGCAGAGTTTGGAAATACCAATGACGGCAATACGTCAAGAAGATTTTTTTCAAACCCGGAATTATCTTCATAAATAACTGGTGTTAACTTGAACTTAATAAGACGTTTACACATTATTCTTGAAGTCATTTCAAGTGGATATAAAATTGATGCTGTTAAATTCGACGCTTTTGTCATGAAACTGCTAAAATGTATATCAATCTGTATGGTTGGTATCCTATGTCTCCAACTCTGCATAAAGTTTTGATGCATGGCGCAGAAGTAATAACTCATGCAATCCTCCCTATCGGCCAGTTATCTGAGTGGCAGCTGAAGCTAGAAATAAACAATTTCGGTAGTATAGACAACGTTTTAGGGGAAAGTATTCTAGTATCGACTGCAATACAGACGTATTAAATAGACTGTTATTGAGTTTAGGCCCATTCATAAGTAGTTCTGGATTAAAACGGCACAAAAAAACGTTGCCTTTTTCAAAAGAGGCAGTCAATATGATTATCTCAGAATGAAGATCTGACACGCGAATAGTTTAAAGCGAATTCTTTAAAGCGAATTCTTTTTCTTAATAATAAATTATTCTCTAAAAAATTTTTTTTTAAGTAAATGTTTAATTTTGATAAAATACTCTTTCAAACTAAAAAATTGAAAAAATATCCATAAAATATTTTTGAGCGGTTTTGTCATACAAATACTCCACTGTGCGGCGGTAGCCGGATACAATGGGTGATTTTCACCTAGGCGCCAAATTTTCATTGAATATTAATTTTTTTCTTGAGAATATAAAAATATATAAATTTATAAGAATAGTTGTATAAAAAGTGATAATACTTATTTAATGTAAGAATAAGTATATATTAGTTTATAATAATGATAACCTGAATTGGAGGATATCCACCAATTATAGTTGCCTTCAGTTCCAATGAACTTTTTGGTAGTATTGAAACAAACTTCTTATTTACTGAAACTATTGGATTTTCATAAACAACAACATCAATGATGTTTTTGA